GGACTTAGCACAGAGAACCAGCCGCTTGGAGCAGAAAAGCAAATGGACTTGTGTTGATCCGCGCCACCAAGCCTGCCCGGAGGGGGAAGGGCGTTGACCAGCCCGCCTGCTCCTCTCTGGAAAGAAAGATGGCGGCCGCACGGGAGCCTTGTGGAAAGCGGGTTTGAGCCGGGCTCGGGGGAGCGGCGGGGACCTCATGGGAAGGGGGGCTTTGTGGGCCGTCCCCCACGCCCCACCAAGGTCGCCAGCTGCCCCCCACGAGCGGCTCTCCGGCACGGCCACGGCCCCGGAGGCACAAGGACTTAGCACAGAGAACCAGCCGCTTGGAGCAGAAAAGCAAATGGACTTGTGTTGATCCGCGCCACCAAGCCTGCCCGGAGGGGGAAGGGCGTTGACCAGCCCGCCTGCTCCTCTCTGGAAAGAAAGATGGCGGCCGCACGGGAGCCTTGTGGAAAGCGGGTTTGAGCCGGGCTCGGGGGAGCGGCGGGGACCTCATGGGAAGGGGGGCTTTGTGGGCCGTCCCCCACGCCCCACCAAGGTCGCCAGCTGCCCCCCACGAGCGGCTCTCCGGCACGGCCACGACTCCAGGGCACAGAAACCAATCTCTTAACTAGCTAACTTTTAATAGAAATTCTTCCAGGGTCAATAAGTAAAATAGCAGAAATTCAAAACCGCGCGGCCGCTATCGCGGCCGCGCGACCTCATTTTATTCTTAAACCAAGTTGTAGAAAGCAAATCATTTCACAACGCTGTTTCAGCATGTCTGATTGGGGGCGGGGGGTGGGTCGTAAGCTCTAAACAATAGTTGTGCATCTTCTATCGAAATAATCTATCTAGTCAAAGTAGATAGAGTATTAACTAGAACTCATCTGCCTCACAATAATTGGGAGGGGTGGGAGGTGGGGGTCTATTGGGGTTCGGGGTTAAAAATGAGTATTGGTAAAGGGAAATGTGTTCGGTATCTACATGACTGAGACCAAAACCCGAAAGCTCTGTAACTTTTCCCACAGTGATTCAATAAATAAATAAATTATATAAAAAAAAAATGGGGTGATGAAATGAACAGAAACTTTCCCAAAGAAAAAAACCGAATGGCTAAAAGCCACATGAGAAAATGCTCTACATCTCTAATCATCAGGGAGATGCAGATCAAAACAACAATGAGATATCATCTCACATCACAGAGACTGGCCCAGATCCAAAAGAACAAAAGCAACTGGTATTGGCATGGATGTGGTGAGAAAGGGACTCTCCTTCACTGCTGGTGGGAATGCCTACTGGTTCAGCCCTTTTGGAAAACAGTATGAACAATTCTCCAAAAATTAGAAATTGAGCTCCCATTTGACCCAGCAATACTGGGAATACATCCCGGCGAGGCAAAAAAGTACAGTCAAAATGACATCTGCACTTCTATGTTCATTGCTGCACTATTCACAATAGCCAAAATCTGGAAAAAACCTGAGTGCCCAAGAACAGATGACTGGTTAAAGAAACTTTGGTACATCTACACAATGGAGTGCTATGCAGCTGTTAGAAAAGATGAAGTCATGAAATTTACGTACAAGTGGTACTACATGGAAAGTATCATGCTAAGCGAAATGAGTCACAAAGAGAGGGACAGACATAGAAAAATTGCATTCATCTGGGGAATATAAAGTAACAAATTGGGAGACTAACACCCAAGAATAGTTGAGTTAAGTACCAGGAGGTTTACTCCATGGCTTGGAGGCCAGCCGCACATGCTGAAGGAGAAGGCAGCTCAGACAGAGAGTGAAGCACCAAGTAAAGGGTGTTGGGTGGACCCTCCGCGGATGAGAGATGCATGCTGAAAGTAGACTCTAGACCGAACGTGATAGCCACTCAATGTCTCTTTTGCAAACCACAGCACCCAAAAGGAGAGAGAGAAGAAAAGGGAATGCCCTGCCACAGGAGTGGGGTGGGATGGGGGTGTAGGGGGTGGGAACTTTGGAGGTGGGGAATGGGCAACGGTGGAGGGATGGGTACTCAATCATTGTATAACTGAAACCCAAGCACAAAAATTTGTAAGTCTACAACTGTACCTCATGGTGTTTCACTAATAAAAATTAAAAAAAATTCAGTTCTTTTTATTGAATCAAAATATAATTCTTTCTAGTTTCACCCAATTTATTGCTAAGTAGCACTGTAGCACTGTCCTCCCATTGTTCATCGATTTGCTCGAGCAGGCACCAGTAAGGTCTCCATTGTGAGACTTGTTGTTACTGTTTTTGGCATATTGAATTGTTTATAAATAATAAAAATAAAAGCTATAATGGTTATAATATAATGCTATAATATAATATAGTGCTATAATATAATATAAAGCTATAATGGGAGCCTGGCAAGCTCCCCGTGACGTATTCGATATGCCAGACACAGTAACAACAAAGTCTCCAATGGAGACGTTACTGTGCCCGCTCGAGCAAATCGATGAACAACGAGAGGGAAAAAAAATAATGGTTATAGCAGTATTTCAATGCTAAAACAAGTGACATGACCTGAATCATAAGTTGTGGCGTGTGGCACCCAGTGGTGCTTGGGAATCTCCCAGCAGTGCTGTTGAGACCATGTGGTGCCAGGATTCAACCCAGGACTTCCCTAGGCAATTCGTGTTTTTCTTTTTATTAGATGTGACTGATATTTATTGTTTTTTTTGGGGGGGGGTCATACCTAGCGATGCACAGGGGCTACTCCTGGCTCATGCACTCAGGAATTACTCCTGGCTGTGCTCAGGGGACCATATGGAATGCTGGGAATCGAACCTGGGTCAGCCGCATTCAAGGTAAACGCCCTACCCTCTGTGCTATTTCTACAGCCCCTATTTATTGTTTTTTTTTTACTTCATTCAATAGGTAAAAGGTAAAAGGTAAAGGCCCTCCCATTGATCGTCGATTTGCTCGAGCGGGCCCAGTAACGTCTCCATTGGAGACTTTGTTGTTACTGTGTCTGGCATATCGAATACTCTCGGTAGCTTGCCGGGCTCTCCGAGAGGGGCGGAGGAATCGAACTCGGGTCGGCCATCTTGGCCGCTTGTAAGGCGAACGCCCTACCGCTGTGAAGTGCAGGGCTCCTGTATGCGAAGCACACTCATTGACTCTTCCACGCTCCCTGGAGTTCTTTAGAGTCCGTTTATCTAGATTATTAAAAGGGATTCAAGAGCTTCTGAGGTTGAGTTATGTGTTTTTGAGGGCTTGGGGCAATGCTCAGTGGTGCTCAGTGGTTATTCCTGGCTCTTTGTTCAAGAATGACCCATGACAGTGCTTAGGGATCAAATGTGCTGTGAGAAATTCCAACCATGGTCTGTAGTGTGCAAGGCAAATGCCTTATCCCTTAACTACTTCTCCAGTCCTGAGTTGTTTGGACACAAGTCTTGAATAGAACCTATTGGAGGACCTTATTTGATAGATTATAAAGGTGTTTTGCAATTCATTAAATGTACATATTAAACATATAAAGACAATAATACTGTAAATTATAAAAAAGCACTCAAAGCTGAAAGACAGAGGGAAGGAAAAAAGAAATAGGAAACCAGGTGTAAATGGAACAAATGGAAATCAAAATGGATAGGTTTTATGTTTTCCAAAAATCACTGTAGTAAGGTTGGGACTGGTTGATTGATAAGCAAAAATAAATTACTTAGAATGTGGTAAAAATAAATGATATAAATAATTATTAGCATCACATTAACAATATATGTAAATAGTTACATTTAAATGGCTCAAATATCTCAATTAAAATCAGAGTGAGTTGGGATAAAAAAGTAAGCTTATTTTCTGTTATCAAGAAACCACTTAAATTTAATGCATAAATAAGAATAAAAGAAGGAAGAAAGATATACCATTTATCTTTTCTAAAGAAATCAGGAATGACTATATTAATTTCAGACAAGGTAGACCAGAATGAAGGATCTAACTATGTTTAAGGAGGGATATCACCTAAGGATAAAGATCAGTTCACGAATAAAGGCTTTATAACATATGCACAGCTGAACCTCAGACTTCACTAAACAAAAGTTGCTATCACTGTAAGAGGAAATATAAAAATCCAGTTAAAATGGAGAATTAAACCTAATAATATAGGAAAAAGAGACATAGCTTAACCAAGATATAAAAACCAAGTCATTCTAATTGATGTTTATGCAATACTTCACAACAGCATTCACTTTCAAGCACTTTAGAATATTTACCAAAATGATCATAAGATAAGTTACATCAAATCTGAAAGATTTGAAAACATGCAAAACATGCTCTCTGCTCATAGAAAAATTAAATTGTAAATCAGCAATACAAGGATACCTGGAAAATATTTGAGAAACTCTATAAGCAATCTGCTTCTTAGTACATAGGTAAAAGTGTGAGTCTCAAGGGAAATTAGAAATTTTTAAAAATTACATAAAAGGCACAATATAAAATTTGTAGTATATGCCTGAAATAAGTCCTTATACATAAATTTATAATATTAAATGCTTATATCAGAAAAGACTAAAGGTTTTGAATAAATGATCTAACTTTCTACTTTGGGAAACTTGAAAAATTCAAAATAAATAAAGGTTATAATCAATTAAATTGAAAATAGAAAAACATTTAAAATAAATGAAAGTAGACTTTCTCTTAAAAATGACAGTTTGGTTAAGTTAGTACATAATGAATGAGATGATAGAAATTATCACAATCACAACTGCAAAAGGGGACATCACTATAGATCCAACAGCCATGCAGAGGAAAGGAAAATAGGGGATAGGGGAAATATACAACTTCGAGTCCAGAAATGGAACAGTTTTAATGAAATGGACACATTAACTGAAACACGAGTTTACCAGTGTCTGTTAGTTCAAAGGACAATTTTACCTGCACAGGTGGGAGCAGACATGGGGCTCCCCCTGATGGCCTGAGGTCTCTCTGGTTGTGTGTTCAAGGCATGATTGAACCAGGAGGTGGCTTTTCTTTGACACCTGTTTTTTTTTTTCACCCCATCTCTAACAGTGTCTCAGCCAAGAGGAAGGCGTTGAATGGGTCAAGAAAAAAAGACTTCCAGCATTCCTGGAAAGCGACTGCTACTTTGAGTACAGGTATTAAAGTTCTGTCATTGGGTTTTTTCATAGGAACTGCATTGAATGTCTTATGCTTTGGGAAGACTGCTATTTTAACAGTGTTAACTCTTCAAGTTCGTGAACAGCGGATACATCCATTTCCTCTTCTCCTATTTTTATTTTCTTTAGTAGTGTTTTGTAGTTTTCTTTGTATATCTTTTAATAAACTAATTCCTAGGTACTTGATTTTCTGGAGCAAAATTGTGAATGGTAATTTTTTTTTCTTTTTGGATCACACCTGGCGATGCACAGGGGTTACTCCTGGCTCTGCACTCAGGTGTTACTCCTGGCTGTGCTCAGGGGACCATATGGGATGCTGGGAATTGAACCCGGGTTGGCCACGTGCAAGGCAAATGCCCTACCCGTTGTGCTATCTCTCCAGCCCCAGTGAATGGTATTTTTTAAAAAAACTTTTACCATCTATTTTGTTATTTGCATATAGAAAAACCATGGAAAGAATTTCTCTCACTTTTCTAGTGTAGTAAATAGTCTATTGTTTCTAGGTGTGTTTTGTGTTTGTGTGTGTGTAGTCCTACAGATTTTCTAAGAACAATATCATGTTATCCACATATAGTGAGAGGTTGACTTCTCTTTTTCTATCTGGATGCTTTTAATATCTCTTTTTTTCTTTTTGGGTCACATCCAACATTGCACAGGGGTTATTCCTGGAACATGCACTCAGGAATTACTCCTTGCGGTGCTGGGAATCAAACCCGGGTCGGCAGCATGCAAGGCAAATACCCTCCCTGCTGTTCTATAGTTCCAGCCCCTAATATCTCTTTTTTTTGCATAAATGCTATGGCAAGGACTTTTAATAGTAGTGTGAGAGTGGGCAATCTTATCTTGTGCCTGATCTTCGAGGGGAATGCTTTCAGTTTTTCACCAGTGAATGTGATGTTTGCTGTGGGCTTGTGGTAAATGGCTCTAACTATGTTGAGAAAAGTTCCTTCAATTCCCATTTTACTGAAGGTTTTTATGATGAATGAGTATTGGATTTTGTTGAATACTTTCTTTGCATCTACTGGTAGGAAACTATTGTTTTTATTTTTCCATGTATTAATATGCTATAATACATTGATTATGTGCATTAAACCATCCTTACATTCCTAGGATGACTCATACTTGATCGGGGTATATGATCTTCTTATGTATTACTGGATTCAGTTGACATATTTTGTTGAAGATCTTAGCATCTATGTTCACCAGGGATAATAGATATATAGTTTTCCTTTCCTTTTTTTTGTGATGACTGTCTGCTTTTGGTATAAGGATGATGATTGCCTCATAAAACTGATAATTAATATGTATTCAGTTTTCTGAAAAACCTGAAAAAGATTGTCAGTAGCTTATCTTTAAAGACTGAAGAACTCACTAGTAAACCCATCTGGGCCTAGCTTTTGTTTTCATCAGGGAGACATTTGATTACCATTTCAATTTCCCTGGTATTAATTGGTCTGTTTTGTTTTGTTTTGTTTCTTCTTGGTTCAAACTTGGGAGGTTATAGGAGTCCAAAAATGTATCCATTTTTACTATGTTCTCTTGTTTTGTGTCATAAAGATTTTCGAGGTAATCCTTGATACTCCTTTCATAGAGAAACTCTCCTGGTTAGAGTTCATGAAAGGGTTTCAGGAAAGCTTTCAAGGTCATTGGCCCTGCCAGAACTTCGAGTGTGATTTAGGGTTTTATGATTTCTTATTACTGCGGCTACCTTGGTGCATTTTTTGAGGAATAGGTGTGTGGAGCAAGGATGAAGTTAATGTTAGCATGGCCAAGCTGCTCCAGAGTGAGAGATATGTTAACTATTGGAAATGCTCAGCTTTGAGTTTGGGGGGTAAAATGGTGAATGCTCAGCTTTGGAGTTTAGGGATAGGCTGAGTGGTGCTGGTAGCATTGTCTTGGAAAAGCCCTGTTTTTTTCTATCCTGATGAGTGGGGCCTGTTTTTGGGGTAGACATGGGGCCTGTGCATGTTTTTTTGAAAGCCTATTCTTCTCTTCTTCCTTTTCCTCTTCTTCCTCCTCTTCTTCCTCCTAATCCTCTTTTTCTTCCTCTTTTTCCTTTTCCTCCTCCTTCTCCCACTCCTCCTCCTCCAAATCTGTTCTATACTTTGATGGGGGATATAGTAATTCTGTACATCAGTATCATAAACAACACTATTGTAACCATGTTACCTAGACTTTAAAAACAAAAAAACTTTCCCCCATGTTTTCTTAGTAAAACTGTGCACCTTTTAACTTATTAGACTTTGGATCCCACTTTCTATAGTGTAGGAAAGTGACAGAGGGGCCAGAGAGATAATCCAGTAGGTAAGGCACTTGTTTTGCATGCAGCAGTTTTGATCACTGGCATCCCATCTGATCCTCCAAACCCTCCATATGATCACCAGGAGCGATCGCTAAACCCTGAGTACCGTTGGGTGGGACCTCCTTCCCCCCCAATTATAATATAAGGCTGTGGAGATAGCTCAATAGACTGAGACCATGCTTTGATTGTGGGAGGTCTAGGTTTGATCCCCAGGACTGCCTGGAAAATCTCTTGAGCACAGAGCTGGGAGTAGCCAAGTGTTCCAGGTACCACCCCAAAGCCAAAACAAATGTGATGAAAGCATTGGCAAAACCCATCAAACTTTCCCCCAAAAGATCTTATGGAATGAATACTTCTTTGCATACCCAGTAAGTGCATCTTTTATTGCTTACTTATTTGTTGATTGTTTTTGTTGGGGTCACACTCGGCACTACTCAGAGCTTACTCCTGGCTCTGTGTTCAGAGATCACCCTGGCAGTGCTCAGGGGACCATATGTGGTGCTGGAGATTGCACTGTGGTCAACGGTGTATGTGTCTCGCCTGCTGTAGTAGCTTTCCAACCCTACTTTTTATTTAAAAATACTCTGTGATTCTTTATGTATGGGTGTTAAAAAGTAATTATAAGCATGTCCTGACAAACAAAGTACCATTTCTGGTGCACATTCTTTTTCTTGCTTTCTGGGCACCTTTGCTTAGATCTTTGATTTTTAAAAGTCGAAGTAAAATATATAAAAATTTATGACTTTGGTACGTTCTTTGAATAAAACATCATCTTAGCAGTTCCTCAGAGGGGGAGACTGGCTTGAGGAAAATGTTAGATTTTTCTCTCCTGAATTTTACCTTATAGAAAATTTATTTCAAACTTTTTCTTACGCAGGCTAGCTAGATTCATCTCACAAGTAAGATGGAGTGGAATGGGCACGAATGTCACAGTAGCTACTGGTTTTTCTCCCTGGCTACAGAAAAAACCACCCACTCCCCCACCAGCAGTCGTTGAAGATGAAGATGTTTTAATTATGAAAAAGTTCTATGTTTCCATGGGCCAGGTAAGAAGAGGAATGTTTCCTTGTGACTTGGTACTTCAATAAAATTAATTTAAAAAGATATTTATTTTATTTTTGCCATCTGGGCAGGGGAAATTATTTCAAATACCCCTAAAGCATAGACCGAAAAATTCTTATAGATCTAATTTATCAATTTGCCTTCCTGTTTGTCCCCTGAAATGCTATTAGAAGTACCACCCTCATGTTTTTGAAGAAAAAGAGAGATGGACACGAGCTTATGGGAAACAAAGATAACATATTACGCTCATGGTTTTCCTTGTTCATAGAAAAGCTGTTTAAAACTATGATGAATTATTGTTGTTCCCCCCCCCCCCCACCCCAACCACCCCGTTGTCTGGGCTGGAGCGATAGCACAGCGGGTAGGGCATTTGCTTTGAACCTGCACGGCAAAGCCTGGCAAGCTATCCGTGACGTATTCAATACACCAAATACAGTAACATCAAGTCTCAATATGGAGACGTTACTGGGCCTGCTTGAGCAAATCGATGAACAACAGGAGGACAGTGCTACAGTGCCCCTGTTGTCTGACTTTTCTTTTTTTCATCTTTTTTTTTTTTTGGCTTTTTGCGTCATATCCAATGATGCTCAGAGGTTACTCCTGGCTCTTCACTCAGGAATTACTCTTGGTGGTACTTGGGGAACCATATGGGTTGCCAAGGATTGAACCCAGGTTGGCTGCATGTAAGGCAAACACCCTCCTCATTGTACTATCGCTCCAGCCCTGTTTTCTGATTTTTCTTAGGGAGTCAGTGAGAGTGTAGTTAGTTAGTGTGCTTGGTTTGCATGGAGGAGGCCTGGACTTGTTCCCCTATACCTCTTTTTTCCCCATGATTACCACCAGGAGTAACCCTTGCTTGAGCAATGAGCTGGGAGTAGCCCTTGAGTACTGCTGGATATTGTTTCAGGGGATGAGGGAAGCATGATTAGGTAGTACCAGACTACATTACAGATGAACTGTTATCCAAGAGAGTTGTCTTCCATGAGTAGAGAAATGTTGTGTTGGATGAGTACATTTGTAGGGATCTGATTAGAGTCAGTGTCCTTTGGAGAGTTATGCTATAGTGAAAACTTCTGTTTGATCATTGCCTCTGGTTTTCAACTCTCTGCTTTAGGAACACCCATCTTATCCACAGTTCAAAAATCAGGAATGGCAAGTATGCAGCCCATGTGTTGCTGTTCTAGTCTCCACTCGTGACAGACATAGCTAATCAATCGTGGCCATTTCCCTGCTGAGCTTGGACTTGGTTCCAAATTCTTTTCAACACAACACTCTAGGCAGGCACTTGCAATTGATCAAAGATGTCATACAAAAGGAAAATTATTGACCCTATCTGTTAGAATGGATAGACTTGGTCTATGTTGCTTGAACATTTGTTTCCATGTGTAGCTTCTGTTTAATTTTGTGCTTTGGCATTTCTATCAGTGATACTTGGCAAAAAAGTTTAAAATTATGCTAATTTCATTATTGACACTGGATACTGCATGGAGATGTAGCAAAGACATGTTTTCTTTATTTCTCCCTTGCCTCGCATCCCCATTCCACTTTCTTCTGTGTAATACTTTTTCTTTCTTTTCAGTCCAGAGAGATAGTACGGGGGCTTAAGACTCTTGTCTTGCATCTTGCTTATTTTGTTTTGATCTTTGGTACATGTAGGGTTTCCCAAGCACTGTCAGGGCTCACGCCTGAGCACAGACTCAGGTGAGACCCTGAATACTGCAAAGTATGGCACAATCCCCCACAAAAGTATTCGTCTTTTCTTTATATCACAGAAATGTCAGGAATATCATAAAAGTATTAAATGAGAGTAGAAGTTAGTAAATATTGAATGGAGGAATGGATTTAGGGGAATAAATTCTGATTCCTTACATGTGAATTGAATCAAATATAAGAGAATAAAGTCCTAGCTAGTTTACTTTTGCTGGCCTATATAATACTTTACGTATTCCTTCTTAAACAGATTTTTAAACTTATTTTTTGGTTGGGGGCCCACACCTAGGTGTTCTCAGGGCTTCTACCTGGATCTGCACTAAGGGACTTTGTATATCATACACTTTGGAGACCATATGGGGTGCTGGGGAATGCATTGGATTGGCTGCATGCAAGACAAGCACCTTACCTGCTGTACTATCTCTCTGGCCCCACAACTTAGGAATATCAAATATTCAAATTTCCTTGAGCCCTTAGATAATTTTAACCAGGCCTATAGTTAGTGATTATAATAATAGGAAAAGTTCTTTTGAGTCCTTAGTTATGCCATCTAAGCATGAGCAGTTGACCCATCTCTTAGAGTATAAAGTAAAATAATAGTTAATGCCTTTCAATCTGATTGGCTTGCCTCAGATTTTTGTATCTCTTTCTTCCTTGTTTCTTGAGCCCTACCCAGAGGTTTTCAAGCAATGCCAGGGATAGAACCTGGGGCTTTCACATACAGAGTATGTGCATTTGTCCTTTGAATTTTCCCACCCAGGTCCTTGGCTCCCTTCCTTCTTTGTATCCAGATGAAATATGAAGGGCTTCTGTTGTCTATTTATCTCTGTCAGTTCCTTGGAAGTTCCTTTGTGCTTTGACCTCAGTGATAAGAATACTGCTTGGAAAAGAGTAGTTGCTTAATAAATGGGTTCTGAGTGAAATGTGCTTCGTAATAGGTATATATACATATATATATAATTATTGTTATATATTGGGCTGGAGCCATAGCACAGCAGGTAGGGCGTTTGCCTTGCATGCGGTCGACCCAGGTTCGATTCCTCTGTCCCTCTCAGAGAGCCTGGCAAGCTACCGAGAGTATCCCGCCCACACGGCAGAGCCTGGCAAGCTTCCCGTGGCGTATTCGATATGCCAAAAACAGTAACAACATGTCTCACAATGGAGACGTTACTGGTGTCTGCTCAAGCAAATCGATGAACAATGCAAGGACAGTGCTACAGTGCTACATTGTTATATATATATATATATATATATATATATATATAACAATGTTATATATAATTATTGATCACTTGATCACTTGACATCCTGTTACTCATAGATTTGCTCTAGCAGGTGCCAGTAATGTCTCCATTTATCCCTATCGTGTGCTAGTGTAGCCCAATGGCGTCTGCTCATTCTAGGAACACGAAGAGCCTCAAACCGATTGTTCAGGGTCTTGACGAAGAAGTCTGATCATCTCATAGGTGGGCGGCCACATGACCTTTAGATGTCCCGTGGAATCCAGTTGGTAATGGCTCTAGTCCAGTGGTCGTCTCCAAATCTCATTACATGTCCAGCCCATCTGATTTTTGATGCCTTGGCAAACAAGACAGTGTCCCTGATTCTTAATCTTTTACAGGGGTCAGAACTCTGGATTCTTTCTCTCATTTGAGTGAAGTGTGATACTCCAAGCATAGCTCTTTTTATTCCTCTTTGGGAGACCCGAATAGCATTCTCATCCTGTTTTCATAGGGCCCAGGACTCTGAGGCATATGTTAATGCAGGAAGAACAGTGAAATTGAAGAGATGTGCCCAGAATTGGAGCGTCTTTGTCCTCTTAGCTATTTTTTTGATGCTTTTGAAGGTGTTCCAAGCTGCTCTCTTCCTTCTGTGCAACTCAGGTGCCAGGTCATTCATCATGTTGACTTCTCGACCTAAGAATACATAACTATTGCATTCGGAGATGTTTGTTCCATTGAGAGCGAATGGAACGTCAGGAACGAGACCATTTTTTGTAAACATTGTCTTTGTAAGATTCAGCTGTAGTCCGAGCTTTCCACACTCACAGTCAAAGTCGGCAAGCATTTGTGCTGCTTGACTAATGTTTGGTGTTATTAGAACGATCCGCATCAGCGAAGCGGAGGTGGTATAGTTGCTGACCGTCTATCTTCACTCCTATTCCTTCCCATTCCAGTGGTTGCATGACATTCTCGAGGGTGGCACTGAAGAGTTTTGGTGAAATGGTATCACCATGCCGAACCCCTCTAGTCATGGATGATCACTTTCTTGTAGAATAGTGAGATCCTGGTATTGAATTCGTAATACATGGAGGATCCTGATGTATTGAGTTTGAACACCCTGTTTGGCTAGGGTTTCGATGACCACTTCCGTCTCAACAGAATCAAAGGTCTTCTTTAAATCAATGAGCGTTAGACAGAGAGGCATCTTGAACTCCCGAGAAGCCTCAATGAGCTTGGTTATTGTGTGGATATGGTTGATTGTGCTGAATCTTTGTGGAACCCAGCTTGCTCGCATGGTTGTCCTTCATCTAGTGTTCTGCCAATCTGATTCAGGATGACTCGAGTGAACAGCTTGTAGACGACAGACAACAGGCAGATCGGGCAATAGTTGCCAATATTGTGAATGTCTCCCTTCTTGTACAGTAGTATAGTCATGCTGGTTTTCCACTGGAATGGAAACTTGCATTCAGACAGATAGTGTGTGAATAGCCGAGTCAGTGAATTGATGGGTACTGATGGCAGGTTCTTCAGGTGTTTGGGTCTGACCTTGTCTGGGCTGGGTACTGTTTGCTTCTTTACCGATGAAATGGCATGTTGGATTTCAGAAGGGAGAACGTTGGGAACGACATATCCATCATGCGGAATTTGGTATGTGGGCAAGTGGACATGGCTATCAAAGAGATCCGAGTAGAAGTCATGGATAATCTTCATTGCCCTTCTGGAAGATGTGATAGATTCATCAGGATGTCATAGGGCAGTCATCTTGGTCTTGTAGTTGGCGAAGGACAGGAGGGCATTGCAAATGCTTTTCTGGGCTTCTGCCATATCTGCCAGCATTGCTGCTCTTCTCTCTTTGAGATCTTCCTTTATCACTTCTCTGCACTGCTTTGTGAACTTGGACATTCGCTTGCGGTTGCTTGATGCTTGCGCCAAGCCATGTTGGCAAATGAGCTCGAGAGTTTTCAAAGACAGGCGTGTTTTTGTCTCTCTCTCGGCATTCCTCGCACAAACATGGAGGTACTGAACCAGTCGATTGTATTCCTCGTCAATGTTGTCAATGATGGCATCTTCCCATGTTGCCGCAGTAGTGCCAAAGAGCTCCCAGTTGGTGGTCATTCTGGGAGTTCTCTTCTTAAACTTATTATCGAACAACTATTGATAATATATAATTATTATTCTACATAATTATATATAATGTTATATATATAAATAAACAAATGAATATAAATATAATATATGTATATATATTTTAGGGGGGTGGTGGGAGGAAACCCGTGGTCCTTGAGGGCCACCAGGGCTGCTCTCAGCCTGAGGCTGGAAGTTTAAGGTACTGAAAGGGGGGATGTAGTAGAGATGGAACCTAAGGCCTCTTTGTACACAGGAAACAGGGTCTCTGCACCTTGAGCCACATCCCTGGCACAGATGACTTGTTTTTCATGGTCAGGGAGAGAAGAGAACAAGAAGAAATGAACGTCTTTCAAAGCTTGCATCCGCCAAGGAAACTGTCCCTCTTAGTGGGACAATGACACAGAGATAGCACCTCCAGTGTTTTCTCACTTGCTTTTGGCCTCCTTATGTGGCCTGATTCACTCAAGACAGGAGGTAGCACCAAGCCTCCATCCCTCCTGGGAATGTTCCTTAAGACTGAGACCAGGCAGCTAATCCAGACGGAGACACGAGGGTCCCTCCCACTGGTCTGTCCCTTGCTCTGCTTCTGTCAAACAATGGGGGCTTCCTTGGATAAGCAGGTGAGGACACTATTGAAAGAGGCAGGTAGAGGGACTTTTCCTGGAGAAATGGTGGTGCGAGTTGCTGCAGGCCAGTTTGTGCATGAGTTCTGGGTGCTCGAGGATGCAGTTTTGACAGGGACATTGCAGGCCCTTCCGGGGCAGTGGAGACAGAATCAGCCACCACAGCCTTCGGCCCAAGCACAGTTCTGAGAACCGATTCTTTAGGCTTGAGTTGTGCTTGGAGAAGTTTCCAGTGCCGCTGAGGCAAGTCTCTGTGATAGTAGCAGGGAGTTGTTAAAGTGGACCCGGTCGGATAAGACTGGGGGCCTGAAATCCTTGGGAAACTTGTGAATGGGAATGACCAGAGAGGGGCAGCCAGGCACCGAGGTGCCTTAGGACAGTTGAGTTCAGGTGAGAGAATTAGCAGTGAGCCAGAAAGTGTGGGACTGCTTGCCTTTGGCTGAAAAATGGAGAAGAATTTAATGGGTCTCTCTTTCCTTCTCCTTCTAGTCACCTAGCATGAAAATAATCTCAACTTTTCTCCCCTCGACTCTCTTTGCTAATGGGTTTATCTGTGCACAATTCTTACCGTTCATGGAATAATTTTTCTTTGCACATCCTGTTCTATGCTGGTCGGAGTTTAGTTTGATGACTTTTCCAGGTTGTGGGAGGTTGAGTGTGCTAATATCGTGTTAAACAAACCTGTTTCTTTCTTTCCAGGCATCCTATACCCAAACCAAAGATTGGTTTACCTTAGCAAAGCAAAGCCAGCAAACTGTGGCTACCTTTTCCCTACCTCCTTATGTTTGCTACAACAAAATTGAAGCTCCAACACCATCCATCACCTCTGTGTCTGGTAAGTGGGAAAGAACAAGAGTGATGTCAGAGATTCTCTCTTCTTTGTTTTCTGTTGTTGGTTTTTTTGGTTTATTTGTTTGGGGGCCACACCTAGCAGTGGTCAGGGACTCTGCACTCAGGGATCACTCCTGATGGGGAGGCTTGGGGACCATATGGAGAACTTCGGATCGAAGATTAGCGCCTTATCCACTGTTCCTATCTCTCCTGCAGTGTTGTTGATATTTTTATCTTACAGTAAACCCTAAGTGTTTGGAGAGAAAAAATTATTTGCACCTACCCTCCAGCCCCAGTTCCACTTCCTACTTTTTAAAAATTCACAATTGTGCTCAAGAAATCAAATACCTGAGAGTAAGTTAGCAAAAGAGGGGAAAGACTTATAAAGAAAACTATGCTTTTCTTGTATGAATCTATCTAGGGATCAGAGAGATAGTACAATGGCTAGGCCTTGTATGTGACCGACCTGGCTTTGATCTTCAGCACCACATATGGTCTCTGGAGACCTGCCAGGAGAGATCCCTGAGTGAAGAGTCAAGAGCCAGGTGACCCAGCACTCAAGCCCTGAGCATTGCCAGATATGGCCCAAAACAAAATAACACAAAATAAATTAAGTCAAAGGGAATGGGAGAGGGAGGAAAATGGAGCTTCAAAGTTCATCTTTAGAAAGAGTGTTGTGCTGTTTTGTGTATTTCATGATAGAGTGTGTGGCAGGAATTGCATCCTTTTGATGCAGTAGCACATTTGTGAAAATTGCTGCTCTGACTCCAGTTCTTGAGCTCTGTTTCTGGTAGCTAATTTTACTTTATTGTACAACATGAAATACTAACGTACCAAGAATAGTGTAACATACACATTCTGATGCTTCACTAGAGTTGCATATTGATGTTGTCAATTGGCATTCTGTGTCAGGCTGAAATATAGTAAATTAGTAGCTATATTTGGGATGTGAAATAAATTCCTTCTCATCTTGCTGTTCCCTCCCATGTCCAGGAAGATGTGGCTAATACCTATTGGCCTAATAGACCAATTGGCCTAATACCTAATGGCAGTTCCCCATTAACTCCCCCACTACTGTTCCCAAATGTGGCTTTAGACGCCTTTAAATGTGGCTTTAGCCCAATCTGTGTGGTCACTCCCATGATGAACTAGCTTGGCACACTGGCTCAGTGCTATCCTGTTCATAAATACTAAACTCTTCCTACCCCTAATCTGATCTCATTGCCCTTTGTGACTTTTGATACAGAAAGCGCCATCTTTGATAACAGAACCCATTCCTGGGCCAAGAAAACCATGTCCAATGTTGAGAACACTCTTTCTGATCTCAAAGAGGATATTGGGTCTATGTGTCTACAAGACACCACTTCTCAAACTCTCCTGAGAATATACCTTGACTCCCAACGGGATGTTGAAGAAAACGTGACCCTGCATTTTGGAAATTGTGAAGAATTTTTGAAATCTTACATATTATATATTTTGAAAGAATCTGTTTACCAGGTCGCAGGGTCACCATATCAAGGGCACCCCAATTATGTGAATTTCACCAACGTCTCCAAGGTGGTGGTGGAAGAGTGTTACAAACCTAAACTTCACCAGGATTTGGAGCCAGGTGAAATAGCTGAGACCACCATGCAAAAGTCTGAAGGAATAGCAGAGAAGGAAAGTTTGAAGAGCGAGAGCTTGCCTTCGGAAAGCAGGTCCGACTGGTGTGTGTCTCATGGGACATATGACATCGGGAACAGGAAGGAGTTTGAGAGATTTAAGAAATTTATCAAAGGCATTTTAGGAGAGAAATACTTATGGTTGTGGATGGATATCGAAAGATTAAAGGCTCTGAAGCACTGTGACAGACCCAAAGGTATTTCTACTTTATATTATTTTTTTAATTGAATCACCATGATATACACAATTACAAAGCTCTTCTCGATTGGGTGTCATTCATACAATGTTCCAACACTAACCCCTCCCTCAGTGTACATTTCTCACCATTAATGTCCCCAGTTTCCCACTCCCCAGCTTGTCTCTATGACAGGCACTTTATTTATTTATTCATTTTATTGAATAACCATGAGATACAGTTACTAAGCTTTCATGTTTGAGTTTCATTCATACAATGACTGAACATTCATTCCCCCCACTAGTGCGCATCTTCCATCACCAATGTCCCCAGTATCTGCCCCCCACATCCCAAACCTTTCGCTGCCTCTATGGCAGACAATTTCTCCCATATTCTATCTCTACTTTTGGGCATTATGGGTTGCAATATAGATACTGAGAGGCCATAATGTTTGGTTCTTTATCTACTTTCAGCACACATCCCATCCCCAGCGATCCCTCCAACCATCATTGACCTAGTGATCCCTTCTCTATCACAGCTGCCTTCTCCCCCAGCTCATGAGACAGGCTTTCACCTATGGAGCAATAATCCTGGCTCTTGTGTCTACTGTCCTTAGGTCTCAGTCTCATGTTATTTTATGTTCCACAAGTGAGTGCAGTCATTCTATGTCTGACCCTCTCTTTCTGACTCATTTCACTCAGCATGATACTCTTCATTAAATTCCACTTAAAATAAAATTTCTTTTTTTTTACATCTCAAATATTTTACTTTATTTTTTTTATCATTTTTTTTGTTAGTGAAACACTATGAAGTACAGTTATAGACTTATAAATTTTTGTGCTTGGGTTTCAGTTATACAATGATCAAGTACCCATCCCTCCACCAGTGCCCATCCTCCCCCACCACGGGTCCCAGCATCCCTCCCCCCCATCCCCCCCGTCCCACCCTGCCTCTGTAGCAGGGCATTCCCCCCTGTTCTCTCTCTCTTCTTTTGGGTACTGTGCTCTGCAAGAGAGGCATTAAAATCAAATTTCATAACTTCATATTTTCTAGCAGCTGCATGGTATTCCATTGTGTAGATGTACCAAAATTTCTTTAACCAGTCATCTGTTCTTGGGAACTCAGGTTGTTTCCAGTTTCTGGCCATTGTGAACAGTACTGCAGTGAACATACAGGTGCAGATGTCATTTCTACTGTGCTTTTTGCACCCTCGATATATATTCCCAGAAGTGGTATTACAGGGTCATATGGAAGCTCAATTTCTAGTTTTTTAAGGAATGCCCATATTTTCCAAAAAGACTGGACCAGTCAGCATTTCACCAACAATGCGAGTCCCTTCTCCCCACATTCATGCCAGCACTGGTTATTCTTGTTCTTTTTGATGTGTGCCAGTCTCTGTGGTGTGAGATGATATCTCATTGTTGTTTTGATTTGCATCTCCCTGATGATTAGCAATGTAGAGATTTTTTTGATGTTCTTTTTGACCATTTGTATTTCTTTTTTGAGGAAGCTTCTGTTCATTTCTTCTCACTATTTTTTGAAGGGGTTGGAGGTTCTTTTCTTGTGCAATTCTACTAGTATATGATAGGCACTTTATTTTTCTCTCTCTCATTCTCTCCTCTCACTCTCTCTGTGTCTGTCTCTCTGTCTCTCTCTCCATTTGGGCATTATAGTTTTCCATACAGATACTGAGCGTTTACCATGTCTGTTTTGTACTTTTCAGTAGTTTTATAAACCAATCCTATTGGGCTGTGGAGACAGTACAGAGGGTAAAGTACTCAACTTGCATGTGGCTGACCTGGGTCCAATCTGTTACACCTGAGATGGTCCCCTGATCTCCACCAGGAGTGAACCATGAGTGCAAAGCCAGGAGTAAGTCCCTAACACCACCAGATGTGACCCCCAAAACAAACAAAAAATAAAATAGAAACCAATCCTAGAATATTAGTTTGAGTGATATAAATACAGGGAGAAAGAATGAAATAATCTATACTTTTAGAAGAAAAGATAATCACAAATCACAAATCATCCTGTTAATCGTCGATTGCCTCGAGCAGGCCCCAGTAACATCTCCTTCATCCTAGCCCTGAGATTATATTCAAGGCTCTTTAGGAGAATGAGACCCATCATTGTTACTGGTATTTGGCATATTGGGTACGCCATGGGGAGTTTGCCAGACTCTGCCGTGTGGGCAGGCTACATTTGGTAGCCTACCAGTTTGTCCAAAGTAGGAATGAGATAATAAGATGTCATAATAGGATGTCGCACGGCCGCAAATGCGGCCGCGTGGTTCCAGGAGCTGGTTTTTATAATCTCTGAGTCTTGGCCATTGATGGGATTACACGGCGCCAGGGAACCAGTTTGTGGGTGTGACCCCCGCCTACTGGAATTTGGAGGATCTGGGTGGAGGATGCTCGGCCCAAATCCGAGTAGGATTGGAGATCTCGGCCCCGGAACCCGCGTGACTTTGTCCCTCTGCCAGTACCTTCATGTGTGCGGAGAGTGGTCTCAGCATGGTGGTGGCTGGTCCTGGAGGTCTTTGGCTACTGGAGCCCTGGTCAGGACGGGGAGGAAAGCTCAACCCGCTCCCCTCCAAGGGTCCCTTGCGGCGAGGACAGTCAGGCGCGGGGGCAGGAGACTGCATTGTTCTCATCCAGGAGCTGGTTTTTATAGTCTCTGAGTCTTGGCCGTTGATGGGATTACACGGCGTCAGGGGGCCAGTTGGTTGGTGTGACCCCCGCCTACTGGAATTTGGAGGATCTGGTGATATACAGGGAGAAAGAGCGATAGCACAGCGGTAGGGCGTTTGCCTTGCACGCAGCCAACATGGCCGACCCAAGTTCGATTCCTCCGCCCCTCTCGGAGAGCCCAGCAAGCTACCGAGAGTATCTTGCCCACACGGCAGAGCCTGGCAAGCTCCCCGTGACGTATTTGATATTCCAGACACAGTAACAACAAAGTCTCCAATGGAGACGTTACTGGGCCTGCTCGAGCAAATCGATGATCAACGGGAGGGCCTTTACCTTTACCTTTACCTTATACTTTTAGAAGAAAAGATAATAATAAAATCAATTTTATTCACATAGATTTTCACCCTTTATTTAAATATCGTGTTTTACAAAGTGGTTCACTATACATTTGTTACATTCAATATTCCAAGATCAATCTCACCACCAGTGTGACCTTCCCTCCACCATTGTTTCCATTTTACCAAATTTCCCAAGCATGCCCCCTTAGCAGGCACAAAATAATTTATTTTATATTGCTCGTTACAACTAAATGACAAATGGAATTATTAAAAAATACTTTAGTAAAAGAAAATTTGTGAAAATTCTTACATTTTATCATGGGGTCATTAAGTCCTTGCCTGCACACTTACTGAGCTATTGTTAGTTGGGCCTTCTGTGTTTTTATTTATTGAGCTTAGTTGGCTTTGATGTTAATTTCCCATCTAATTTGGTGTTTTCCTACTGGAATGTAAGTATTATATAATATTTAACTGGGCTGTGAGCTTACATGGCAGCAGTTGGGGGATGTTGGGTGGCTTCTAGGTCTTCCAGAATTATGGGGGTTAGAGTTGCGGGGCTGTCTACTCCCTCTCTGAGAAGACCCCAGAATTCTCAGCCTGAAGACCAGTGTACCTGGAAGTTTTGGCAGTTTGGCATCTCTGCAGTGCTTCGTCTATAGACAGTAGAGTCTGGCCATTGGCATGGTGGCAAATGTGGATGCAACTAGGGCTCGGTAGGGCAGGGACTCACCCCTCCCTCTCCTGAGGGCATCCCAGAGTTTCAGCTGGGAGACCAGTGTACCTGTGAATTTTTGCATTTTGTTAATCTCTGTCTCTTCTGAGATTTAATGGTGAGTCTGTGTCATAGATTTCTTTACATAAATTCTAAATCTCTTCATATGAATCATTCTCTTCTTTTGTGGGCAGGGTGAGGGGCACACTGGTAGTGTTCAGGGCTTACTCCTGCCTCTGGACTCAGAGATCACAACTGGTGGGCTTGGGGGACCTGGTTGTCCACACACAAGGCAAGTGCCCTACACTGTACTGTTGCTCCTGCCCTTCACGTGAATCATTCTATCTTATTTTTAAAATAATATTTTAAATAATATGTTTTCAATAATAGCATTTATAGTTTTGATATATGGCTATTCTACCTCCTGCACCACCCAAGGTCTCAGTGGCTGAGTTGTTCCTGGCCTTCCACTTGCCTTCCAACCATAAAGCTTATTGCTGTAGAGGTCTCGAGAGCAAGAGTTCCATTACTTGTGGAGGGATGGGGCTGGGGTTGGTTCTGAGTGGAGCGTGGAGTGGGGGCAAGGTCAGAACCACCATTGAGACCCGTATTAGTACTTGGGGAATCACGTGCAAGCAACCTCCCCAGGTTCACCGGTGTTCAACCTCCCCAGGTTCACAGGTCCCGACGAGGGACTGAATGGACCCAGGGCAAGCAGTGAGCTACCCTGGCAGCGAAATGGGCCAGGCCAAAGTGCCACGATTCTTAACTATAAGTTAAGAGTTTGATCATGGACAAATGCTGTCATGATCCAAGGTAAAGACAAGACTAGGATCCTGCTAGGGGTGGGAAAGACTATCTGGCCTGAGCACCATAGTCTGAGATTGAGATGGCCCTAGGAGAGCAATTCTATAAGTTTAAGATATTTCTTACTGTATCCATACAAAATGATTTATATTATATTCTTGTATGCTTGTCGGACAAGGAGAGGAGAGGCACGCCCATGGGATTCTGCTCTAGGGTGGGTCCTCCTGCTGAGGAAGGATCGTCCTAGGAGCGGTCTTCCCTGAGGCTAAGATTTCTACCCCTGTTCATCTCCACCCCTATTGATTGTGACCGCACCTATGTGTAATTGTTTCCCCAATTCCTCATGGACAGAGGATTTAACTGTACTGTAGGAGTGGGCAGAAGGCAGAAGGAAGAGAAGGAGGATGAAGGGGAATGGAGAAGGAGAATGAAGTAGCTGGGGGAGGAAGAATGGGGGCAGAGACAGAAGGAGAGATGAGGAGAGGATCAGAATAAACTACGACTAATACCTACCAGCCTGGCCCTCGTTCCTTCCTCCGCCTGACCATCGCCATCGACCTCTCCGGGGTGGTAGAAGGGTGAGACTACCGAACGCGGGTGGCGGGAGAGATAGAGCCGCCGCTGTGTGGGTGCCGAGCCCCCCACCTTGTGTGAGTTTACACACACCGGGATCCTTTTGGCAACTGGATTTTCTTGCTGGAACAAATAACAACAAAATCCCAAACTTGGAGCCTCCAGTAGCTCAGATGGTCTCTCTTACCGCTGCAGGGCTGGAATCTAAGTGGGCCTGCAGAGTGGCTTTCCTTCTGGACACTCCAGGGGAAGACTCCCTTCCCTGGGGTTGGGGGCTAGTCCTGCAGTTAGAGCTCACATGCCCCTCACATGTACCTCACATGTGCCTGGCCCAGATGTGATCCCTGCCCGCCGCAGTACCAGGGGGAGGTTCTGGAGTCTCTGGCTCCGTCGTGGCTTGGAGTTGTCCCTGAGATCAGTGGATCCAGGAACAATCGCCTTCTTGGGCCTTTGCATTGACCTACTGTCCCGGTTGGCCGAAAATTACAGGTATGGCCCCTGTACCTCCTCAGCACTGCTTGGGAGGACCCCCTGCAAAAAATAAAAAAGAAAGAAAGAAAAAGAAAAAAGTCCTTTCCTGGCCTTTTGCACCCTCTGCAGGTACCTGCTTGCTTGTTCTTGTGGCCCCTACCTCAACTTCAAAGTCAAGAGCATGGAATCAAATTTTTCTCCAGCCTTGCATCTTTTTGCCATGACCCCTGACCTCCCTGCCTTCTTTCCATGGGCGATTTGGATCACAATAGGGTCTCCAAGGTCAACCTCTAAACACCCTCAGCCCAGTAGCAAAGTGCTTGTTTTACCAAGGACACAGAGAACGAGGCCAGGCAGATCTTTGCAGGGCCACTGGGCCTGTTCATCCCGCAGCTGAGATGGACGGTTTGTCTGTGCATCCTGCAGCTGAGACAGGCTGTATGTCCGTCCCAGAGCTGAGATGGCTCTCTGTCTGTTTGTTCCACAGCTCTGTCTGTCTGTCCCACAGCAGAGACGGGCTGTCTGCACTGTCCTGTCCTGCTTCCCCTATGACTCCCTGTGGGCTGGGAGTGCCTGAAGCGTTTTTTTTTCTTTTTTCTTTTTGGGTCATATCCAGCAACGCTCAGGGGTTGCTCCTGGCTCTGTACTCAGGAATTACTCCTGGTGGTGCTGAGGGGACCATATCAGATGCCAGGGATCGAACCCGGGTAGCTGCGTGTAAGGCAAATGCCCTACCCATTGTACTATCACTCCGGCCTCCATATATGCTTTGCAGACCACCGTTTTGGGCCTGTTGAATGTCGCCTCTTATTGTGTGTTGCTCACATTCCAGACATCTTGAGAAGATGAAGAGACTCTACCTGGTGAGCAACGGAGAGTGCTACCTTTCGATGGAGATCTTAACCAAGTTTAAACTGCTGGAGGGGTCTTAGTGGAATGAAGAGCATTTAACTAATATCCAGGTGGAGGTGGTTAAACCTTTACTTCTGTATTGGTAAGAAAAAGGACACGAATCAAGGTTGGTTCAGGGAGAGTACAGTGGGAAGGTTGCCTGCATTGCATGGGGCTGATGCAGGTTCAGTTGATCCCTGGTACCACGTGTGGTCCCCTGAGTCCTGCCAGGAGTAAGCCCTGAGTACAGAGGAAGGAGTAAGCCCTGACAACACCAGCTGTTGCCCCCAAACTGAAATCCAGAGTTAGTGGCTTTTAAGCACATGCTCTGTATGTGGGTGTTCTGAGTTTGGTTCCCCCAAGCACTAGGTCATTGAGTCTCTACCTCTCCCCTAAAGTTAGGGACTTACATTTTTCTTAGTCTAGTCACGTTACATCTTTTTTTGTCTTATGAACATGTCATTTTTAGGAATTTATAATAACAAGATTATTGTATCTTTCTTTGGCCTTCATTAAAGTAAATAACATTTAGATAATTGGACTGTATGGGAGAATAGCACAGTGGGTAAGGCGTTTGCCTTGCACGCGGCCGACCCAGTCGGCCCAGGTTCGATTCCTCTGCCCCTCTCGGAGAGCCTGGAAAGCTACTGAGAGTATCTCGCCTGCACGACAAAGCCTGGCAAGCTACCCGTGATGTATTCGATATGCCAAACACAGTAACAACAAGTCTCACAATGGAAGTGTTACTGGGCCCATTCGAGCAAATCGATGAACAATGGGAGGGACAGACAGAGAGACATGGGAGAATTTCAATCCCTTCTAGAACTGGACAGAACTGAAGCTCTGGGGTTGCTTTATAAGTACCATTTGATTTCAATTATTCACTGTTTGGTAGTTTATCAGATTGGGGTGTGTGTGTGTGTGTGTGTGTGTGTGTGTGTATCTGTGTGAGTGTATGTCTGTGTGTCTCTGTGTGTGTCTTGTGTGTGTCTATGTGTGGTATGTGGTGTGTGTGTGTGTGTGTGTGTGTGTGTGTGTATAAAGAGTTACTTGTGGAAAGCCGGTTTTACCCCTGGTCTGCGTGGGACGGGCACGGAGGCCCAGCTCTGGGCAACCAAGCGAACGGCTCCTATTCCAACCAGGTACAGCCCGCCCCCAAGGGCCTGGGACCCTCTGTGCGCATGCCCAGCTAGCTCCACCTCCTAGAAAGCCGGTTTTACCCCTGGTCTGCGTGGGACGGGCACGGAGGCCCAGCTCTGGGCAACCAAGCGAACGGCTCCTATTCCAACCAGGTACAGCCCGCCCCCAAGGGCCTGGGACCCTCTGTGCGCATGCCCAGCTAGCTCCATCGGCGTTCCCAACTCCTCGCTCAGTGCCAGGGACTCTTTCCAGAGCCGCGGCCGCGTTAGCGGCCGCGAAATATTTTCCCACTTCATATGCCATAGGAACCAAATGCTACCTTCTTCAATGGAAACTTCTCTAGCTTAACTCAGTCACTAGAAACACAGTAGCCAATAACTCATAAGCCTATCTTAATTCACACTGCATATCAAGCAGAATAGTAACAGTGAATGTTAAGGACTAAACCACAGTTTTCACAATGGTAAAGCAATGCAAAATCTCACCAAACTTTCTTATTGAAGAGTCTAGCCCAGATGACACCAACAGTACTGCAGTGTTAGACAAACTCTCTGACAAGGAATTCAGGAGGGAGCTACTTAGGATGCTTAGGGAACTAAAAGAAACAATGGAAAGCAAATGCCAATAGAAGACAAGAGGATTTGAAGGCAGAAATGACGAAAATGCAATCAGAAATGTCAGACCTGAAAAATCTCGTAGGCGAAATGAAAAACTCAGTGGAAGGCCTCAGCAGCAGAGTAACAGCGGCTGAGAAACAGAATCAGTGAGCTCGAAGATGAAGTTCAGAGACTCTCCAGAAAAGAGCAGAAAATGGAAAAGAGACTCACAATTCGGGAACAGATGGCAAGAGAAGATCGTGATGAAGCCAAGAGGGGTAACATAAGAATTATTGGAGTCCCAGAGGGACAGGAAGAAAACCTTGATGAAGAAGAAACTGTCAAAGACATCATTGCTACAACGTTTCCAGAGCTGAAGAAAACTTGTGACCATATTCAGGAGGCCCGAAGGGTACCAGCTAGAAGAAATCCGAATAAAAATACCCCAAGACACATTCTGATCAAAATGACCAAAACCTTAGACAGAGACAAAATTCTGAAAGCAGCAAGATCGAAGAAAGAAATCTCTTACAAAGGAGCATCTTTAAAATTCACAGCTGATTTTTCTGATGAAACCCTTATGGCCCGAAAACAGTGGTGGGACATAGTGAAAAAACTCAATGAAATAAATGCCTCCCCAAAAATACTTTACCCAGCGAGACTCTCATTCATAACAGAAGGAACAACACACAGTTTCACAGACAAACAATAGCTCAGGAACTTCATAGACTCAAAACCATGGTGACAAGAACAACTAAATGGGCTACTTTAAGGCAAGAAAGGCCCCTCAAATACACCAAATTTCAACAGAACAATGGGACAAAATCCCATAACAATAATCTCTCTCAATGTCTATGGGCTAAACGCACCAATTAAAAGACATAGAGTGGCAGGATGGATTAGAAAATTGAACCCAACATTCTGCTGCCTGCAAGAAACACATCTCAATAGTCAAAGCAAACACAGACTCAGAGTCCAAGGCTGGAAAACAATCCTACAGGCAAACAGCTCCCATAAAAAAGCTGGGGTAGCCATCCTAATATCAGACCACATCGATTTCAGAGTGAGGAAGGTCATAAGAGACAGTGAAGGTCATTTCTTATTGATCAAAGGATCTGTACAACAGGAAGAACTTACAATAATAAATGTATATGCACCTAATGAGAGACCAGCAAAGTACTTAAAACAACTACTCATAGATTTGGAAAAAGACATCAACAGCAACACAATACTAGTGGGAGACTTCAACACTGCTTTGTCACCTCTTGATAGATCAACTAGACTCAAGCTTAGCAAGGACATACTTCATCTGAGGGAAACAATGGAAGAAAGGGACTTAGTAGATATATACAGGACACTTCATCCACAAAAAGCTGAATACACATTCTTCTCAAGCGTACATGGAACATTCTCCAAGATAGACCACATGCTGAGCCACAAAACATGCCTCCAAAAAAATTAAGAAGATAGAGATTGTATCGACAATCTTCTCAGACCATAATGCGCTGAAATTAGAAGTAAATCACATACAAAAACAGAAAACTAAATCAAACACCTGGAAATTAAACAGTGCTCTACTGAACAACGAGTGACTTAGACAGGAAATCAAAGAGGAAATCAAAAGATTCCTAGAAACGAATGAAAATGAGGACACGAGTTACCAAAACTTATGGGACACAGCAAAAGCTGTGTTAAGAGGAAAGTTTATAGCTCTACAAGCATTCCTCAGGAAGGAGGAGCGAGCACACATAAGTAACCTAACCTCACAGCTTAAGAGCTTGGAGAAGGACCAAAAAAGGAGCACAACCCGAACAGGAGAAAGGAAATAATAAAACTCAGAGCAGAGATTAACGAGATGGAAACCCAAAAAACAATCTGAAAGATCAATGAAACTAAGAGCTGGTTCTTCGAGAAAATTAACAAGATTGATAAGCCTCTAGCAAAACTCACAAAGAAAGGGAGAGAGAAAACCCTAATAAACCGAATCAGAAATGAAAAGGGGGTCATTACAACAGAAACTACAGAAATTCAAAGGATCCTCAGGGAGTACTTTGAGAAACTGTATGCCACGGAACATCAAAACCTCGAGGAAATGGATAAATTCCTAGACTCCTACAGACTCCCAAGGCTGAACCAAGAAGACCTGGAATACCTGAACAGACCTATCACCATCAAGGAAATTGAAATGGTAATAAAAAGTCTCCCCAAGCACAAAAGTCCTGGTCCGGATGGATTCACTAGTGAATTCTTCCAAATCTTTAAAGAGGACTTACTCCCAATCCTCTTTAACCTTTTCCACGAAATTGAAATATCAAAAACACTTCCAAACAGTTTCTACGAAGCAAATATCACACTGATACCAAAAGTAGACAGAGATACCACAAAGAAAGAGAATTACAGACCGATATCCCTGATGAACACAGATGCAAAGATCCTCAACAAACTACTAGCAAATAGAATCCAACTACTCATCAAAAAGATCATACACCATGACCAAGTAAGATTCATCCCAGGGATGCAAGGATGGTTCAACATTCGAAATCAATCAACATAATCCATCATATCAACAAAGAAAAGATAAAAAGCATATGATTATATCAATAGATGCAGAGAAAGCATTTGACAAGATCCAGCACCCCTTTATGATGAAAACCCTAGCCAAAATGGGTATAGAGGGGACCTTCCTCAACATAATTAAAACCATCTACCACAAGCCTACAGCAAGCATCATCCTCAATGGGGAAAAACTGAGAGCCTTCCCCCTAAGGTCAGGGACGAGACAAGGATGCCCACTCTCTCCACTGCTGTTCAATATAGTACTGGAAGTACTTGCAATAGCGATTAGGCAAGAAAAAGATATTAAGGGCATTCAGGTAGGAAAGGAAGAAATCAAGCTCTCACTATTCGCAGATGATATGATACTATACTTAGAGAACCCAATAACCTCCACCAAAAAACTCCTAGAAACAATAGACTCGTATAGTAAAGTTGCAGGCTATAAAATCAATACCCAAAAGTCCATGGCATTCCTATATGCAAACAATGAGAGAGAAGAAAGCAAGATGAAAAAAACAATCCCATTCACAATTGTGCCCCAGAAAATCAAGTACCTAGGAATCAGCTTAACTAAGGAAGTAAAGGACCTGTACAAAGAAAACTACAAAACGCTACCTCAGGAAATAAAAGAGGACATGAGGAAATGGAAAGATATCCCCTGCTCATGGGTCGGGAGACTTAACATTGTCAAAATGGCAATACTACCAAAAGCATTGTATAAATTCAATGCAATCCCTATAAGGATACCCACGACATTCTTCAAAGAAATGGAGCAAACACTCCTGAAATTTATATGGAACAATAAGCCCCCACGAATAGCTAAAGCAATTCTTGGGAAAAAGAAAATGGGAGGAATCAACCTCCCGAACTTCAAACTGTACTACAAAGCAGTAATAATTAAAACAGCATGGTACTGGAACAAAGGCAGAACTGCAGACCAATGGAACAGGGTTGAATACACTGACATCTCCCCTCAATCATATGCTCATCTAATCTTTGATAAAGATGCAAGTAATGTGAAGTGGAGTAAGGAAAGCCTCTTTAACAAATTGTGCTGGCATCACTGGACGGCTACATGCAAAAAAATGGACTCAGAACTCTTCCTAACACCGTGTACAAAAGTAAGATCAAAATGGATTAAAGACCTCAACATCAGACCAGAAACTATAAGGTACATTGAAGACAAAGTTGGCAAAACCCTCCATGACATTGAAGCTAATGGTATCTTCAAAGATGCCACGCCACTGGCCGAGCAAGTGAAAACAGAGATAGATAAATGGGACTATCTTAAACTAAGAAGATTCTGCACCTCCAAAGAAACAGTGACCAAAATACAAAGACAGTCTACATAATGGGAAAGGATATTCGCTGAATACACATCTGACAAGGGGTTGATATCCAGGATATACAAAATACTGGTTAAACTCCACAAGAAGAAAACATCCAACCCCATCCAAAAATGGGGCAATGAAATGAACAGAAACTTTCTCAAAGAAGAAATCCGAATGGCAAAAAAGCACATGAGAAAATGCTCTACATCATTAATCATCAGGGAGATGCAGATCAAAACCACAATGAGATACCATCTCACACCTCAGAGACTGGCCCACATTCAAAAGAACAAAAGCAACCGATGCTGGCGCGGATGTGGCGAGAAAGGGACACTCCTTCACTGTTGGTGGGAATGTCCACTGGTTCAGCCCTTCTGGAAAACAGTATGGACGATTCTCAAAAAATTAGAAATTGAGCTCCCATTTGACCCAGCAATACCACTCCTGGGAATATATCCCAGAGAGGCAAAAATGTATAGTCGAAGTGACATCTGCACTTGTTTGTTTATTGCAGCACTCTTTGCAATATCCAGAAACTGGAAGAAACCTGAAAGCCCAAGAACAGATGACTGGTTAGAGAAACTTTGGTACATCTACACAATGGAGTACTATGTAGCTCTTAGAAAAGATGAAGTCATGAAATTTACATACAAGTGGTACAACATGGAAAGTATCATGCTAAGCGAAATGAGTCAGAAAGAGAGGGATAGACATAGAAAGATTGCTTTCATCTGGGGGATATAAAGTAACAAAATATGAGATTAATACCCAAGAATAGCTGAGATCAGCACCAGGAGGATTACTCCATAGCTTAGTGGCCAGTTGGGCATTCTAGAGGGAAAGGGCAGCTCAGATAGAGAAGGGAACACCAAATAAAGGGTGTTTGGAGGACCCTCCCAGGAGGGAGGGGAGATGCATGTCGAAAGTGGACTATGGACTGAACATGTTTGCCACTCAATGCCTCTTTTGCAGACCACAACACCCAAAAGGAGAGAGAGAACACAGGGGATTGCCCTGCCACAGAGGCAGGGGGGGACGGGGGGATGGGGGTGGGGGGGATATTATCCATGGTGGTGGAAAATGGGCACTGGTGGAGGGATGGGTATCTGATCATTGTATAATCAAACCCAAGCACAAAAAAATGTAAATCTACAACTGTACCTCATGGTGTTTCACTAATAAAAAAATTTAAAAAAAGAGTTACTTGTAGCTCATGTTATAGTGTATTGTCTCTGAGCATTTTGGAGCTTCCTTTCAGCCCAGCGCTGTGCTAAGGGCACAGGGATGAGGCGGGCTTATGACTAGTTGTCAGAGTCCACTGAAGAAGCAAAAGGCAAGGCAAGGCAGAGGGTGTGTGGGATCCAGACAAGAGGTGATGCTCGCTTGGAGTACGGCCTCTGTGAGGAAAGAGGTTCACTCAGAAAGGGGTGCCCCCGAGGGTAGAGACTCACTGGGTGGCTGGGGTGAGCCTTTTCCAGGTCACCCAGTCTTTCAGCGTGGCACCCACTTGGCTTCCTTCACTTGGCAGATGCGGGCACATTGTGTCTGTCTCCTGTCACTGCTCTGGCTGCCTCCCCCGGTCTGTCCTCCAGATTACTTCCACGTGTTGGACGTTTTTGGTAGAAGTTGTTTCTTCTTTCTTTCCACAGTTCTCAAATACTTAAGATATATCGAAAGCTGTAAGTTATGCTCTCATGGACCTTTTTAGTACCCACAACCCAGCTGAGTAAAATATTGCTAAAACATGGCTGGAGAGATATTACACTGGGCGGGGCCCTTGCTCACGGTTTACCCTGGTTGTATTCCTGGCGTACATGGGGCAATTTGAACCCCTCCAGTAGTGACTCCTGAGCACAGAGGCAGGAGTAAGTCCAGAGAACAGCTGGGTGTGGTCCCAATAACAACAACCCCCAAAAGACTGAACAGGGAAAGAAGTGGAAATTACCAGAAACGCGGCCCGGCCTGACTTGAGGTGAGCTGGCAGGCCCCCCTTTTGGAGGTGTGAAACTTGCATGGCCTTTTTCCTCACTCCATTTTTCCTTTGTTTTCCCTCTGCCCAGGGCTCCTCGATTCTGTATCACCCACTCGCGTGCCACCAAGATCGCCAGTGCCCAGCTCAAATTCTGGCACATTCATCAGCAGAAACCCAGGAAGGACGTGGACCCCTTCCCACAAATGGCAACGCTGCTGCCCTTACGGCCCAAATCTTGCTTCCCTCGGATAGCGGGGATGCAGGTAGGATTGGGAGGGGTCCAACCATCTCCTGACAAAGTTCACAGGTCCTTGATGGCATGACTTTCTCAGGGGGGTTTTGATCGCTCACATTTCTTTTCAGCTTCACTTTTATTTGATTGATTTAATTTTGGGTGGTTGTGTATGCTGCAAGAATTAGAATAAGGAAAGCTGAAGTGTAAGTGTGTGTTTTGCAAAGCAGCCCAAGTGCTGCTTCAAAAGTGTGTGATCAAAAAAAAGAGAGAGAGAGAGAGAAAGGGGCTGGAGTGATAGTACACACAGTAGGGTGTTTGCCTTGCACATGGCCAACCTGGGTTCGAGTCCCAGCACCCCGTTTGGTCCCCTGAGTCTGCCAGGAGTGATCCCTGGACACAGAGTCAGGAGTGAGTCCTAAGCAACACCAGGTATGGCTCCCAAACAAGACAAAACAAAAATCCCAACCCCAAAACCAAAGACAAAAACCATCAAAGTACCCAAAATGGAAAAATGAAGGTGGGAAAATGTGTGTGATCATGTCATTCACCTGTTCACAATTCCCTCGTGGCCTCCTCTCTTGCCCTAGTGAAACCAGTCTTGGGCCAGGGATGTGGCTTAGTGGGGGAGCAGCTGCCTTGCATGAGCAAGTTTGAAAGCCAGCCCTGCTCTCAGTCAAGCATTCAACCAATCAATCAAAGCCCAAATCCTTGCCTAGCTGTACCGCCCCATTACCTTCTGGCCTGCCAACGGTTCCCTTCCCCCACACTGACTCTTCCGTGAACACACTGGGAAAACCAGGAGACGGGCATTTGCTCTTCACCCACAGGGGACTCTCTCCAGTGACCACGTGTCTTTCCCCTCGCTCCCTCACTCGGGGTCTGCTTTGAATCCCTGACATCGGAGAGGCTCTCTAGGACTGAAGTGAATCTGCCCCCACTGCCGTCTCTGCTGTGGTCCCGCTGTCCCCACTGTCTCTGGCTGCACTGTCCTGGCTTTGTCACTCAGCTTCCGATGGCTGGCCTGTCCCTGCTTTCTGCCCTGTGTCTCCTGCCCCTGCCTAAAGGGCTTTTCTGTGGGAACATTTTCCTTCCAGCAACTAGAACAGTGCCTGGCACACGGGCGCTCCTTGGCAAATACACACTGAACCACATGAGCTAGAAGTAGTAATTTTGGGGGCCAGAGTGATAGCACCAGCAGTAGGGCTCTTTCTTGCCTTGCATGTGGCTGACCTGGGTTCAATCCCCAGCATCCCAGATGGTTCCACCAGCAGTGATCCCTGAGTGATCCTTGAGCTCAGAGCCAGGAGTAAACCCTAAGCACACTGAATGGAACCCAAAACTATCACGATCATCCTGTTGTTCGTTGATTGCCCCGAGCAGGCACCACTAACGTCTCCTTCGTCCTACCCCTGAGATTTTTTCTTTTTTCTTTTTAAATTTAATTAATTAATTAATTTTTATTGAATCACTGTGGGAAAAGTTACAGAGCTTTCAGGTTTAAGTCTCAGTCATGCAATCATCAAACACATTTCCCTTCACCAGTACTTATTTTTCACCACCAAGAACCCCAATATACCCCCTCCCAACCCTCCCAATGCCTGTGAGGCAGATGAATTCTAGTTAACACTCTATCTACTTTGATTAGATTCACTGTTTCAGCAAAAGATGCACCATTTATTATTTAGAGTTTACACCCCCAAATCAGATCTGCTGAAAAGGTATTGTGAAATAATTTGTTTTCTACAGCTGGTTACAAGAATCAAATGATTTTGGATTTCTGATATTGCTTTCCAGAGGGAAAAAGGTGGAAGGGAGCAACACCCTTTCCCTTCCGGGCAGCCATGGTGGCATGGATCAACGCATAATCCATTCACTTTTCTGCCGCAAGCAGCCGGGCTCTGCATTAAGTCCTTGTGCCTCTGGAGCCATTAGCCCTGAGATTTTAAAGTAAAATTAGATTTTAAAGAGCCATATTCAAGGCTCTTTCAGGGTTAGGAGAATGAGACCCATCATTGTTACTGGTATTTGGCATATTGGGTATGCCACGGGGAGTTTGCCAGACTGCCGTGTGTCAGGTCACATTCGGCAGCCTGCCAAAAGCTAAAAACAAACAAACAAACAAAAAAAAAACCCAAACCCAGTAATTATCATTTTACAAAGGAAGATGAAGAAAGATAAGGGGGCAAGTCTGAAACAGATCCGGCAAATGTGTGGCACTTCAGCCTAGAGCTGCAGTAACTGTGGTTGGATCTGTGTCGAAAAAGGAAGAACTCAGTAGTCTTGACCCTTCTAGGTGTCCTAGAATGTTACATATGATGGATCACAGCTGATATCTGTTATTGTTTTATATCACTTTAAAAGCAGGGATATCGCAACAGTGTTTCAAGTTTCCCTTGTCCCGGGAGTGTTTTAGAGGTGACCGAAGGTATTTTCTTCACCCCAATACAAATGAGAACCAGGCTTCGGCTGATGGAGGTACCTGGTGTGCAGTACAACCTCTCAAATCTCTGAGTCACTTTGTAAAGTCAAGGATTGGACCTAGAGCTGAGTTTCCCGATCTCGCCGGAACCTCAGAGCTAGATTCTTCTTTTACTTCTTGTTTGGGCCAGCGCTGGGGCTCAATCCAGGGCCTATAACGTGCAAGGTGGCAACTGTGCTGCCGTGTCCCAGTTCCAGGGCCAAAGTCACTCAAATTGTTGGCAACTTGAATGGAGAGCGGGGCTCTCATCTGGTCCCTCTCAGTTGGGCAGCTGCGGAGTGTGTGAGGACGGATTCCCGGACTCTCCTGCCCGGCGGGGTTCAAGGTCAGCAGTAGGCCCGGACACAGTGGTGTGTCTAACGTGGTCTCTCCTGCGTAAACCTTTGCCATTTGTCTGGGCACTGTGTCTGAGGGGGTGTCACTTTGGTGACTGAGGGGGTGTCACTTTGGTGCCCTGGTGGATTCCTCCCCTTCACTGTACCCCTGGCTTCCCCACCGTTGTCCTTGTGGTCATTGAGCGTGCCACACTGTTGAGGAATCTGACCTCCCCGCATCCCGTGGGGCCCAGTCACGAGGCAATACACACCTCAAAGGCGTGCTACAGGGAGAGGGTGACCTGCTAACAAGTCAGCAAGAACCGTTTCCTCCAGAAAATCCTTCTTCTCCACTTCCACCACCCACAGTGATGGGCCTCAGGACTCACAGACAAGCCTCTGGTCGTTGTTCTCTCATAGTCTAAAGTGCTGCTATCTTTTAGTCTTCTGACTGTATGGAAGCTAAAATTTGAACAGCAGAACATTTGGTGTGTGTGTGTGGGGGGGGATTGGAAATTGGGAAGCATTATGTGCTCAAAGCAAATGCGCAGAGCTGTGCTTTCATCTCTGTTTTGCTCACGTTCTCCTTTATTATCTCCATTTTTTTTTAAAGAAAGAACAACCCAGTGCAGTACAACCTCCCAAATCTCCCAGAAAGTCACTTGCACCCAGAATAGCAACTCGAAAAGCTTGGAAGAGTGAGGCTTCCTACCAGCCCAGGATGTCTATGGATGATACGATTGAAAGAGAGTAAGTAGAGCTTTTATTTATTTTTTTTTGCAATAGTTGGATTTTATAAGAGTTTAAACATTAAATATACATGAAAAAGTAATCTTTTCTCTTTCTTGTGGTGCCAGAGAAGTACATTGATTTATAGAAGTTTCTTATATTTCAGTGGTGGGTATTTGAAGGTTCTACTTCCTATACACACGCTTAGAGACGAATTTCAGGTGTGGGCAATTTTCAACAGATCAGCACCTCTGATGTGCGAGAGCCCAAAACCCCTCAGGAGACTACTCTGTGGCTGTTTGGTCGATTCAGTGCAATTCAATGTTTCCCTAACTTGAAAACTCCCAATAATTGTGTCATTATTTCCTATAGCCTATTATTTTGATCATTTGGGTTATATATTTGTCCACACATTTATTTACTCTCTGCACTGTGGTATATTTTCAAATGGGATTTCCCCCCCGCTCCCTTTCATTCTGAGTAAAATATTCTTCAGTGTTAACGTGGTATAGGGCCTGCTGGTGAAGGATTGTTTATTTAATCATCTTTAAATTTTACTTTCTTTTTTGGAGGGGGGGCTTCCCAAGCAGTGCATGGGGGACATAGGGGCCTCCCCACAGCAATCCTCAGCCAGCTGGGTCAGGTTTCTTATGAGGGAACAGGAATACTTTGGTGCTTGGCCCCTGGCATGCTGGGGATTATCTGGGCCATCCTGGTGGTGCTTGAGGCCTCCAGTGCTGTCTTTCTGGGGGACTCGGTGATGCCAGGAATTGAACCAGGGTTAGCCACATGTAAGACATGTGCCTTCACTCCTGTAACATCTCTCCAACCCCCTCTTCTTTTATATTTTATTTTATATTTAAATGAAATTCACATGATGCTTCACCAAGTTAATTATGTATACAGTTCAGTCATTTTTTAAAAGTACAGGAAGTTGTCCGACCATTTACCACCATATATTTCAAAAAGGTTTGATCACCTCAAGAAAGACACTGTATATTGGGTGTATGACCAACTCTTCCAGCGGGGGGACCCAAAGAGCTAGGGAGTGTGCCAGGGTGCTAGCCTGGCAGTGCTCAGAGCCCCCCCCCCCAGGGATGCACCAGTGATGATTGAGGGACCCTATGGTGTTGGGGATCAAACTAGGGTCAACCTCTATCTTAAACTAAGAAGCTTCTGCACCTCAAAAGAAACAGTGACCAAAATACAAAGACAGTCTACAGAATGGGAAAGGATATTCTCCAACTACACATCTGATAAGGGGTTAATTTCAAGGATATACAAAATACTGGTTCAACTCCACAAAAAGAAAACATTCAATCCCATCAAAAAATGGGGAGATGAAATGAATAGAAATTTTGACAAAGAAGAAATCCGAATGGCTAAAAGACACATGAGAAAATGTTCCACATCATTAATCATCAGGGAGATGCAGATCAAAACCACAATGAGATATCACCTCACACCACAGAGACTGGCCCACATCCACAAGAACAAAAGCAACCGGTGCTGGCGCGGATGTGGCGAGAAAGGGACACTCCTTCACTGTTGGTGGGAATGCCGACTGGTTCAACCCTTTTGGAAAACAGTATGGATGATTCTCCAAAAATTAGAAATTGAGCTCACATTTGACCCAGCAACACCACTCCTGGGAATATATCCCAGAGAGGCAAAAAGGTATAGCCGAAGTGACATCTGCAATTGTCTGTTTATTGCAGCACTCTTTATAATAGCCAGAATCTGGAAAAAACCTGAGTGACCAAGAACAGATGACTGGTTAAAGAAACTCTGGTACATTTACACAATGGAGTACTATGTAGCTGTTAGAAAAGACGAAGTCATGAAATTTACATACAAGTGGTACTACATGGAAAGTATCATGTTAAGCGAAATGAGTCAGGAAGAGCAGGATAGACACAGAAAGATTGCATTCATCTGGGGAACATAAAGTAACAAAATAGGAAACTAACACCCAAGAATGGCAGAGATTAGTACCAAGAATTTTACTCAATGACCTGGAGGCCAACCACACATGTTAGGGGAAAAGGGAGCTCAGAAAGAGAAGGGAACACCAAACAAAGGGTGTTGGGAGGATCCTCCCAGGATGGGAGAAGCATGCTGAAAGTAGACTATCGACCAAACATGATTGCCACTCAATGCCCCTTTTGCAAACCACAGCACTCAAAAGGAGAGAGAGGGAAATTCCCTGCCACAGAGGCAGGGTGGGATGGGGGCTGGGGGGTGGGAGGGATACTGGGATCCGTGATGGTGGGAAATGCGTACTGGTGGAGGGATGGGTGTTTGATCATTGTATAATTGAAACCCAAGCACAAAAATTTGTAAGTCTGGAAAAAAAATAAAATGAAATGTTTTTTAGTGGGAAAAAACCCAACTAGGGTCAACCCATATACAAGGCAAGGCAAGGAAAGCACCTTAACCCCTCTGGCCCAAGGCAATAGATATTTCTATTTTCATTTGGTAGCTGGCATTTTTACCGTATTTATTATCAGTTTTTCCTGGAGGTTTTAGATTTTTTGGAGTGTAATAGCAGGCCATCTATAGGTACTGGCAGATTTAACTGTCCTTTTTTCAATATGGATGCCTCTCTCTCTCTCTCTCTCTCTCTCTCTCTCTCTCTCTCTCTCTCTCCTATCTCTCCTTTCTCTCTCCTCCTTTACCCCTCCCCCTTGCTGAATTTCTTTGGCTGGAACTTCAAACCAATGCTATATAGAACAATATTGACCAGAATGGGGGAGTCCATATCTTGTTCCTGGTCTTTGTAGAAAAGTTTCAATGTTTTACCATTGAGTGAGATGTTAGTTGTGGGTGTGTTATGTATGTGTCTTATTATACTGGGTGCGTTTCTTTTTAAAGGCCAGTGGTTATAGTGTACTGAGTGGGAGATGGGGGGGGGCTGTGGGGCCATGGCCTGTGGCTGCCTTGTAGTGTGGGGCCTGTTGGCCCTGTCCAGCAAGAGGAAGGGGTGGAGCTGGGAGGCTACGCTTACAGACGTGAGCTAAGTGGGTACACTGGGCGCATTATTTGCACGGAATTAGCACAGGGATGACTTGCGCTCTTCTTGGAACTGACCCACAGGTCTAGGGCAGGGAGAGAGGGTCCTGAGATGGTGCCTAGTATGGCCCTCTCAGTGAGATTGGGCGACGTCACCAGCTTGGCACCCACTGGCATTTCCTTCCCACGAGTCAGCCCCATCTTTTCTTGCTTCCTAGGCAAATTCTACAAAATGGTGAGTGGCCACTGTCACACTGGCATCACTGCTCTCTCTGGGCCCTGTGTGTGGTCCTGTATCCTGCTCTGCGTCCCACCTCTGCCCTTGGCTTCCTACTGTTCAGGGCCTGTTTCTAACTCCCCCTGAATCCGGAGACCCTGGGGACTGGTCTCCACTGTGTTTAGTTGAAGGACTGAGGCACTGCAGATCACCCCAATCACAGTACTCCCCTTCCTGCCTCAGGGCGATGTTTCAAACCTTCGGACCCTCTGCCCCAACCCCCCCCCCCCCCGCCTTGAGGTGTTTCTTCCTGTTCCAAATTTCTCAGTGCTGCCTTTTTGGGGTGCTTTGTTATAAAAGATTTTTTTGGGGGGCGTCCAGGCCTGCTTCTGGGCACGTGAAACCCTGCTCCCTTGGCATCCTGGGGAGGGGGAAGTTAGGGACTGGCCCTGTCCCACTCTTGATCCATCACTCCATGTCCTTGTAATTCAGGTCCAGGTACACAACAGAACAGAGCAGAATTTTTCATTTGACATCTTTCACCGACATATCTGAGTGCTTGAAGCCCCAGCTGGAAAGGAGATTTACTTATACGGAAGAAAATGTGGTAAGTATTTTGAGATAAATTTGGCTGATAAACATCTCATGAATTAGATAGGGTTTTTTTTATGAAGCAAGATAATCTTTACTGAAATCTATTTTATTTTATTTGTTATAAAATAAATAAACTTATTCATCAAGATAGTCTTTATTGAAACTTACTCAGAATGATGTGAGGGGAGAGAAAGGGTCTGTACAGGCTATTCCAGAGTAGAAATCGGCAAGCAAGAACAGAGGAATGAGGCAAGATGAGTGTTCAAAGGGCACCCGGGATTGAAGATCAAGCCAATTCTAGAACATTTTTTATTGATTTGTCATCATGTTTTTCTTTTAAACAAGACATTTTATTTTCTTTGCTAAAGGATTTTGATGCAAACCTATCACAGGCTTTCCTTGCACAGAGCCAGGTCATCCCGCCCTCCATCCATTTCTGCTTTTAAACCACCCGTGGTCTGCTTTTCCGCCTGGTGACAGCGCACACACAAACGAAGGGTTGAGTAATTTTACTAAAATTTTAATATTCAATAAAAGTGTTTGCTATTACATTCTGGAGAGATAATTTTTAAGAGGCAGAGTGTGTTTACCTTAATATCACTATCACTGTGACCCCGTTGTTCATTGATTTGCTCGAGCAGGCGCCAGTAATATCTCCATTCATCCCTGTCACGTGCTAGTGTAGCTCGATGGCATATTGGGGGCTCTTTCAGGGTCAGGGGAATGAGGACCATCATTGTTACTGTTTTTGGCATATTGAGTACACCATGGGTAGCTTACAAGGCTCTTTTTTGCCGGCAGCATAGTCTCAGTAGCTTGCCGGGCTCTCTGAGAGGGATGGAGGCATTTGGGGCAGCCTTTAATGACCTTTACAGGTGCTCCCAGTCAGGTACGTATGTGGGCAGGATACTCTTGGTAGCATGCTGGGTTCTCTGAGAGTGAGAACTATTCAATAAGAGGTCTTGTGGCCGTAAATTTTATTTTTTATTGCTTTAATTGTGGTTGCCTGAGGCATGCGCCAAACCACGCTGGCGAATTAGCTCAAGCAATTAGCCTCAGGCAACCGCAAGCTAACGTGCGAGCCCGCAAAGCAGTGCAGAGATGCGATCAAGGAAGACCTCAAAGAGAGAAGAGCAGAAGTACTGGTAGATGCGGCAGAAGCTGGGAAAAGTATTCTTAACGCCCGCCTGTCCTTCGCCAACTACAAGACCAAGATGACTGCCCTCCGACGTCCTGATGGATCCATCACATCCTCCAGAACGGCGATGGAGAAGATTATCCATGACTTCTACTCAAATCTCTTCGATAGCCACGTCCACTTGCCGACATACCAAATTCCACAGGATGGATATGTCGTTCCCAATGTTCTCCCTTCCGAAATCCGACATGCCATTTCTTCGGTAAAGAAACGAACAGCACCCGGCCCAGACAAGGTCAGACCTGAACACCTGAAGAACCTGCCGTCAGTACTCATCAATACACTGGCTCAGCTCTTCACATGCTACCTGTCTGAATGCAAGGTTCCGTCCCAATGGAAAACCAGCAGGACCATACTACTGTTCAAGAAGGGAGACATCCATGACATTGGCAACTATCGCTCGATCTGCCTATTGTCTGTCATCTACAAGTTGTTCACTCGAGTGATCCTAAATAGGATTGGCAGAACCCTAGATGAAGAACAACCATGCGAGCAAGCCAGGTTCCGAAAGGATTCAGCACCATCGACCATATCCACATGATAACCAAGCTCATTGAGGTTTCTCGGGAGTTCAAGATGCCGCTCTTTTAACATTCATTGATTTAAAGAAGGCCTTTGATTCTGTTGAGACGGAAGCGGTCATTGAAGCCCTAGTCAATCAGGGCATTAAAGCCCAATACATCAAGATCCTCCGTGAGCTGTATTGCGGATTCACTACCAGGATCTCACCATTCTACAAAGAAGTGATCCTTGATATCAAGAGAGGGGTTCGGCAGGGTGATACCATTTCACCGAAACTCTTCAGTGCCACCCTCGAGAACATCATGCGACGACTGGAATGGGAAGGAATGGGAGTGAAGATAGATGGTCGGAAACTACACCACCTCCGCTTTGCTGATGACATTGTTTTAATAACACCAAACATCAGCCAAGCGGCACAAATGCTGGCCGACTTTGACCGTGAGTGTGGAAAGGTAGGACTACAGCAGAATCTTACGAAGACAATGTTTATGAGAAACAGCCTCGTTCCTGATGCCCCATTCACTCTCAACGGAACGACCATCTCTGAATGCAACAGCTATGTGTACCTAGGTCGAGAAGTCAACATGACAAATGACCTGGCACCCGAGCTGCGCAGGAGGAAGAGAGCGGCTTGGAACGCCTTCAAGAATGTCGAAGAAATAGCTAAGAGGACGAAGAACCTCTGGCTCTGGGCACATCTCTTTGATTCCACTGTTCTTCCTGCATTAACATATGCCTCAGAGACCTGGGCCCTACGCAAACAGGATGAGAATGCTATTCAGGTCTCCCAAAGAAGAATTGAAAGAGCTATGCTTGGAATATCACGTTTCACTCAAATGAGAGAAAGAATCCGGAGTTCTGACATCCACCGACGATCAAGAATCAGGGACGCTGTCTCATTTGCCAAGGTGTCAAAAATCAGATGGGCTGGTCACGTAATGAGATTTAAAGATGACTGCTGGACTAGAGCTGTTACTGACTGGATTCCATGGGATGTCAAAAGACCGCGTGGCCGCCCACCTACCAGATGTTCAGACTTCTTCATGAAGATCATGAATGATCGGTTTGAGGCTCTTCATGTTCCCAGAGCGAACAGATGCCATTGGGCTAAACTAGCACGCGACAGGGACAAATGGAGACGTTACTGCTGCCCGCTCAAGCAAATCAACGACTAACGGGAAGTTAAGTGATTAAGCGATTAAGTGATTGCTTTAATAATTTGGATTTAATACACCAGTTCTAAATGGAAACTACACATTTCCTAAAGATTCTTCTGTGTCTTGTTTGTTTGCTTTTGGGTGTTGGGGATGGAACCCGGGGCCTCCTGTATGAGGGGTCCTACGATTTTCCCTCTGAGCTACATTCCCAGCCCTGTATCTTTTCTAAATTGAAGTACGATTGCTTTATAAAATTTCCCAAGTACTAGGTGTGTGTCATCTTAAATCAGCATATGCTCTGTAAATAGTTCACCACTTAAAATGTAGTTCTGTTCCTCACCACGTAATAGAACCCTTTTACTCAGTTCCCTGGACTGGAGTGATAGCACAACTGGTAGGACGTTTGCCTTGCACACAGCCTACATGGCCGACTCGAGTTCGATTCTTCCGCCCCTCTTGGAGAGCCTGGCAAGCTACCGAGAGTATCTCGCCTGCACAGCAAAGCGTGGTAAGCTACCCGTGACGTATTAGATATGCCAAAAACAGTAACAACAAGTTTCACAATTTGTTGTGAGATGTTACTGGAGTCCGCTCGAGCAAATCAATGAACAATGGGAGGACAGTGCTACAGTGCTACTCAGTTCCCTACTGAAGGTAACTTCCCTCCATTATGTTCAGTAACCATTAGTTTAGTCTGAGAGTCTGAATGTTTGTTTTTGTTGGTTCACTTATTTATTTCCCTGTGCACTACAGATCAGTGAGATCATACAGTGTGTTTCTCCTTCCAGTTTAGTTCACTGAACCTAATATACTCTTATTTCCATTCATATTGTTGAAAATGACAGAATTTCTTTTTAATATATAAATATATGAACATAAATATTAGAGTAGTACTCCGTGGGGTATACACGCCTTTTCTTTGGTTAAGGATTATATTTAGTAGAAAACTTGGCAGTCCCAATTCAGTCTGAACACTTATAAATAATTTAGTATAGCTATTTATCTTATTTTAAGCAAACTGCACTCCTTTTCTTCCAATTAGTGTATTTTTCCCACTAAAATAACAGTTTCCTCCCCCCCCATTGGAGAACACCAATGGTTAAACACTATTAAAGCATTAATTAGTAGGTGAGTGGAAGGGTGCTGAGAGATAGTACAATGAAGAGAGAGCAAGATCCTTACTTTCATTAACCCTTAAATTGCTCATGCTCCATATTTTGTTTCTCTTTTGTGTGGGGGGCAACACTCAATGGTGCTCTGGAGCTATTCCTGGTCAGATGTTATCCCTCCCTGGAGATGACAGGAGGGAACCAACCATTTATTTGAACCACATCAGCCTGGTACAAGGCAAGCACTTTAACCCCTGAAATATCTCTTCAACCCCTCTATTTTTCTGAATGTGAGGAAGAAGTCAAAGTTGCAAAATACAAATAGCATAGAGTTATGTGAATGAAGAGGTCCCCTTTCGTATTTTGGAGTCCATCTTGGGCTTGGAGAGTTTGCCAGCCTTCTGTGTTTGAGGAAGAGGAGGCTTGCCAGCACCATTAGCAGATCAGCCCACGAACGGCAAAGTTTTATGGGAACTTCTGCTGCCTCCTAGACTAAGTGGACCATGACCTATCCAGAGGGAAACCCCCCTTGGGACAGTTAATGAGCAGCATGGTGAGTCTCAGGGAGAGTGAGTCCTTTTTATAACTCCCTTGTCGCTATGATAGCAGCTCCTCAAGGCTAAAAAAAAAAAAACGTCAGGGAGGAGGATGGAGGCCCACGGACAGAGATTTGGCAGTCTCCGGAAATGCTATCACTTTTCTTGAAGTATCACGCAAATAACTGAGGTTGGGAAGTCTCTTCAGCGTTCCCAACTTTGAAATCAGGCCGGTTTACCATAGAGTGTCCCTGCCTTGGCTCCAGAAATGAATCTTATCTGACAGTCAGATGCAAACAGACTGCCTTGATTACATATATGCCTACAAATAAAATCACCCAGTGCGAAAAGGACAGCCTCCAGGTCTCAGGAGAGGGCATGGTTGTGCAAGGCCATAAGAAAGAGAGAAAAAAAGAAAGAAAGAAAGAAAGAAAGAAAGAAAGAAAGAAAGAAAGAAAGAAAGAGCAACAACAACAACAACAAAAAAGGACCGTGTTTCAGGGTAGATAATGGCCTTCTGTTTTGTTCTTCAGGTTAAAACCTTGGTGGAAGATGCCCTTGGAGGATTTAACATGGAGAATTTGTTGCAGTCTTTGTATGTAGAAACTCGAGCTAGATTTTTCTTTACTAAATTCTGCGAAGATACTGGGAACAAGGTAGAAAAAAATACCTCAAATGATGCTTCTGCTTTGTTTTAACTCCATTTTATAGCAAGAGAAGTCTTAGATAATAGTATTTGGTGTTAACATTTCTACCTCCTCTGGTATAGAAATGTCACTCTAAATATGTTGTGAAATGTAAACAGCTCAAGTATAATTCTCTTTAGTTCACTATTATAAGAAAATGACCAAGGGAAGTCAAACACTGGTAAGGAATTTACTTCCATTTTTAGCAATGGTTAATTTTCATATAACTTACTTTTCAGTGTAATGTATTTTATTTTACTAGTATGGGGAGCCCATACCCAGTGGGACTGGGGGATGAGAGGCGGGTGGTCCTGGGATCAAGCTCAAATGCTGTGCCTGTGCTTGCATCCGTGAGCCACATCCTTGGGCCCCTTTCTTTATTTTAAATTCAGAAAGGATTTTTATATAACTCAAACAACTACAAATAGTAGCAAATAGTGGCAAATACATTTCCAGCAATTTATCTATTAAAAATATTATTGTTAAACTTTGGAGTCACATCCAGAAGCGCTCAGAAGATATTCCCTCAGAAGTTTCAATGCCCTGAGGTTGCTCCTGGAAGTTCTTGGTGGGGGTAGGGGTGGAGTCATGGGCCAGGGCTCCCATGTACAAAGAGTGTGCTCCAGCCCTTTGAGCCTTGAGCCATTCCACCAACCGATCTTCAGCTTCCTAGGTTATTACCACAAATGGCCTTCATTGTGCTAAAATGGAAAGTATTTAAGTGGCCCCATGTGTGGGGTTCAGCTTTGATGTTCTTTTGTCCAGATATAGAAAAGTACCTTCAGATTTTGATCTAGTGCCAAAAATATGTACTACCTTTAACCACGAACTAGTATGTTTACTATTTTAATGACCAATTATGTGAGAACCATACATTTAATTAAAGCAAAACTTTAATACTTGAGTGAGAGTATCAAGAAATATATTGTACGTTGCCCATTTGTGATGATAGAAGATGACCTCTCTTAAGTTGAGCCTGATTTACAGCAACACTAAGGAACTAAGCCATTATTTATGTTTGAAATGAGAGCTTTGCTGAGCTTCCTGGATGGGGTGGTGGTAATTCATGTGTTTTCCTCATCCACAGTTGTGGAAGAACAGCGTGTATCTCTGGTTTGATCTCCAGGCTTATCATCAGCTCTTCTACCAAGAGACACTTCAGCCTTTTAAAATATGCAAGCAAGCCCAAGTAAGTAGTAAATAATTTTGGTTCAGCAAGAAACTCCAAGGACAGAGGTCAGTGAAAATTCATGCCCTGCACCAAATTGGAGGAATCGGGGGCACAGGAAGAAGGCAGCATTAAACTCCCAGTTAACCCCGACCCAGGTCACTTCAGCAGTGTGTTGTTTTATAATCTTATTTGTGGCTTCTCTTGTTTTATCTGTTACTTGGTTCATCTTTCTCTCTCTCTCTCTCTCTCTCTCTCTCTCTCTCTCTCTCTCTCCCTTCCTCTCTCCCCCTCCCTCTCATTAAAGCCTTTTCCGTTTGGCTGTGAGTGATTTCAGAGAGAGCTGGGGCGGGGAGGATGGGGGACGGAGGACTTTCAAGGACCCCAGAGGGATGAGAGCACAGACCAGCACTGATTTCTGAGCTTTAGCAGAAACCAACTGTGGAACAGTCCAGGATTGGGGACCTGTGGGGAAAAGTGGGAGGCTGAGTGTTGTCGGTCTTTGTAGCCGAACTCCCTACTCTACCCCATCTAAGGCAGACACTCAAGAGGTGGGGAAAGGAGAACCTCTCAAGGGCCATCCTGGAGTCCAGCAGAGGAAGCTGAAAGAGGAGAAAATGATGAGAAAAGAGGACACAAGGAAATGGAAACACATCCCTTGCTCATGCATTGGAAAGATTACTATCATCAAGGTGGTAATACTGCCCAAAGCATTGTACAGTGCAATCCCTACGAGGATACTTACATCACTTTTCAAAGAATAGATAAGACACCCCTGAAATTTATATGGAACAATAGTCCCCGCCACACACCCAGAGTATCTAAAGCAATCCTTAGGAAAAAGAATATGGAAGGCATCAATTGATCTACCTTGAAATTTATCCAACTTCAAACTTTACTACAAAGTGGTAACAATTAAAATAGCATCGTTCTGGAATAAAGACAAACCTTCAAACAAAAGTAATAGAATTGAATAGAATAGAATTTAATTTTGAGACAAACCCTCATTAAATGAGACAGATCATTAAATGATCATTTTAGTCTTTGATAGCACTATAACACTGTCCTCCTGTTATTCACTGATTTGCTCAAGTGGTCCTAGTAACATCTCCATTGTGAGACTTGTTACTGTGTTTGGCATATTGAATACGTCATGGGTAGCTTGCCAGGCTTTGCCGTGCGGGTGAGATACTCTTGGTCGCTTCCCAGGCTCTTTGATAAGGAAGTAAAAATTATGAAGTGAAGCAAAGAAAGCCTCTTCAACAAGTGGTGTTGAGAAAACTAATCAACTACATGCAAAAAGAAAAAAGAACTCAGACCTCTTTCTAATGCCGTGCACAGAAGTCAAATAAAGATGAATTGAAGGCCTGAATCTAGAAGGTACAGAGGGGAAAGTGTAGGCAGAACTCTCCATGACATTAAAGCTAAAGGCATCTTCAAGGATGAAATTCCACTGACCAAGAAAGTAGAAGCAAAGGCAAACAAATGGGACTACATTAAGTTAAGAAGCTTCTGCACCTCAAAGGAAATGATCACCAGGATACAAAGACAGTCCATGGGATAGGAGAAATTATTTTCCCACCACTCATCTTATAAGGTGTTACTATTAAAGATGTATAAGGCACTGGTAGTACTTTACAAGAAAAAAAAAATCCAACTCCATCAAAAAATGGAGAAAGGAAATGAACAGACACTTCCTCAAAGAATATAGATGGCCAAAAGGCACATGAAAAACATTTTATGCATCACTAATCATCAGGGAGATGCAAATCAGAACATCATGAGATATCTCACACCACAGAGACTTGGCACGCATCAAAATGTACGAGAACAACTAGCACTGGAGTGGATGGTGGGAGAAAGCAAGTCTCATTCACTGTTGGTGAGAATGTTGACAGAGTCAACCTTTCTGGAAACCATTATGGACATTCCTAAAAAAACTAGGAATTTGACCCAACAACTCCACTCCTTGGAATATTCTTGGAATATACCCCAAAGGCCCAGAAACATACCTATGTTCCTTATGGCTCTATCCACAATATCCCTAAACCTGGAAACAACCCAAGTCCCCAAGAATTGAGGCCTGGATAAGGAAACTATGGTACATACACACAATGGAATACCACATGGCTACTAAGATCATAAAATTTGCTACTACATGGAGGGAACCAGAGAGTCTCATGATGCATGATGTTAGTCAGGGGGAGAGAGAGACCTACACAGAATGATCTCTGTCAAATGTGGGATATATAAAGTAGCGTAATAGTGGAGCAACTAATACCCAAAGACAATGGAAACAAAGAACTTGAGCAAGCGTATTCAGTAGGAAATAAGTTGCCTGAGGGGGCTGGGGGTATGGGCAACACTTATGGTGGAGGAAGCATTCAGGGGGGAGGAGGTGCCAAAAGGTGGTCAAATGTTACCTGTTAAACCCTATCAGTAACCATACTGTACACCACAGTGCAGCAGTGCCTCTCACTGGTGGGTGGGAGGCAAATGTGGGTGAGGAGCATTGGTGGAGGAGGAGGACACTGAAGGGATTGGTGTTGAAACAGTGGATGCCTGAAACCAAATCATGAAGATCCTTGCAATCATGAATATTTTTAATTTGCATGGTGATGAAATTTTTTTAAAAATGAAGAGAGAAGGAAGTACTGGATTTTCTGCAAAAGGGGACAGTGGCCTCTTTGGGGGAAAGGAGGGAGAAGAACGGGGGAATAAAATCGAGCTAACTGATCTTTCCAGACTTTCATCTTTAGGTTATGATCTTTTCTGGACAAATCACCAGTGATTTCTGTATCTGTTGGCACACCACTGGCTCTTGCAATCCGGCAGTTCCAGAGAGCCGTCCCCCTGAATACAGCATGGGAGGTTGGCTTTGCCGTGTTGGTTATTGCCTTTTGATAATCAGGACTCAGGGAGTTGTTGTTCCTTCTATGCTGCTTCCTCTGGCATGACTGACTGCTGGGTTCAGAGCTGCATCCTCGTGCTGGTCACTGGAAGGGGACCAGCCTCAAGCTCAGTTCAGGCCAAAGGAGATCATGCCACGGTATCATCTGACTTGTCCACAGCTCTCCTGCTTGTTAATCCCTCATCGGTCGTTCTCTCCTTATTCTTACCCCCTCTCCCCCTGGCTGCCAAAGTACCATCCAAACTTGACTGATGTTTCACCACTGAAAAGCATCCTTTTTCCCAACCTTTCAATCAAGATGGTCATTTTGTTGTTGTAATTTCGGTGCAAATGTGGAAGTTGTTTGAATTCAGGAGATGGATTCATTCCTAGTACTGGGATATTTGACCAGTTAAGACCGACTGTGAAACAGAAAACAGTCTTTTTTTAATGCAATGGGCTGTTTTATTTATTTTTTAATTTTATTTATTTATTTATTTATTTTCTTATAAGTGAAACACCATGAGGTACAGTTATAGGCTTACAAATTTTGTGCTTGGGTTTCAGTTATACAATGATCAAGTGCCCATCCCTCCACCAGTGCCCGTCATCCATCACCACGGGTCCCAATATCCCTCCCACCCCCCATCCCCCCGTCCCATCCTGCCTCTGTGGCAGGGTATTCCCCCTTGTTCTCTCTCTCTTCTTTTGGGTACTGTGTTTCGCAAGAGAGGCATTGAGTGGCAATCATGTTTTGTCTATAGACTACTTTTAGCATGCTTCTCCCACCCTGGGAGGGTCCTCACAACAACCTTTATTTGGTGCTCTCTTCTCTATCTGAGCTTCCTTTTCACCTAGAACGTGTGACTGGCCTTCCATTCATGGAGCAAAATTCCTGGTACTAATCTCAGCCATTCCTGGGTGTTAGTCTCCCTTTTTGTTGCTTTATGTTCCCCAGATGAATGCAATCTTTCTGTGTCTATCCCGCTCTTTCTGACTCATTTCGCTTAACATGATACTTTCCATGTAGTACCACTTGTATGTAAATTTCATAACTTCATCTTTTCTAACAGCTACATAGTACTCCATTGTGTAAATGTACCAAAGTTTCTTTAACCAGTCATCTGCTCTTAGGCACTCAGGTTTTTTCCAGATTATGGCTATTGTAAAGAGTGCTGCAATGAACAAACAATTGCAGATGTCACTTCGACTATACCTTTTTGCCTCTCTGGGATATATTCCCAGGAGTGCTATAGCTGGGTCAAATGGCAGATCAAATTCTAATTTTTTGAGAGTCGTCCATACTGTTTTCCAAAAGGGTTGGACCAGCCGGCATTCCCACCAGCAGTGAAGGAGAGTCCCTTTCTCGCCACATCCGTGCCAGCATTGGTTGCTTTTGTTCTTGTGGATGTGGGCCAGTCTCTGTGGTGTGAAATGATATCTCACTGTGGTTTTGATCTGCATCTCTCTGATGATTAGTGATGTAGAGCATTTTCTCATGTGCCTTTTTGCCATTCGAATTTCTTCTTTGCGAAAGTTTCTGTTCATTTCCTCACCCCATTTTTTGATGGGGTTGGGTGATTTCTTCTTGTGGAGTTTAACCAGTACCTTGTATATCCTTGATATCAACCCCTTGTCGGATGTGTATTTGGTGAATATCCTTTCCCATTCTGTAGGCTGTCTTTTTGAGTTTTTCTGAGATAGAATTTTCTGTTTGGGTATTATCGAGGCCTGTAATAGTACTGTAGCACTGTTCTCCCATTGTTCATCGTCAATAGCGTCTCCAGTAGCATCAGTAGCATCTCCATTGTGAGACTTGTTGTTACTGTTTTTGGCATACCAAATATGCCACGGGGAGCTTGTCAGGCTCTGCCGTGCAGGTGGAATACTCTTGGTAGCTTGCTGGGTTCTCCGAGAGGGACAGAGGAATCTAACCAAGGTCAGCCGCGTGCAAGGTGAACACCCTACCCGCTGTGCTCTAGCCCATAGCCTGTAATAAGCTTTAAAAAATTGAAAAAAAATTTTTTAGTCACTCTTATTTACAATTATACAATACCGTCAATGTTAGGGTTTCATGAGTACAATATCCCAATGTTAGAGTTTCATTAATACAATATTCCAATTCCACCAGTGTGCCTGTTTCCCACCTCCTTTGTCCTCGGGTTCCCTCTTAACTCCTTCCTCTCAACGCCCTCCTTCTCCTTTCCAAACCCCATGTCTCACTGCCATGGTGAGTTCAATTCTGTGGCCCAGTTTTTAGGTTCTGTTGTTTTTCGCCTTCTGTTATTCCCTTACTATGCTTCTTTATATCCCATATAATAAGCTTTTCATCCTTCCGAATTATCTTTTGGAGTCAAAGCAGACTGGGAGGAGGGAAATTTTAGGTTAAAGCTTTGAAGGAGCTAAACATGTTATTTTAAAAAATAACAGGGAGGAGCTAAACATGTTATTTTAAAAAATCTGCTTTTTTGCCTTTATGGTTACTTTAGCTTTTGCTAGTTGGAGTATGGTTTAAATTGTTTTCAGTTTTAATTACCCAAGAATTATTTACCTTCAGGTAAAATAATTATCTCTAATACTCTAATCCTGTGGATTTGTTTCACACTAGGAAACACCATTTATTTCTTAACAATAGATTGAATGCT